AGTGTGGTGTACTTGTGTGCCAAGTTATATTTAAATCAGACCAAAACTGTAGGAGGAGTAGCGTTTCTAAAGAAATTTCAAAGTAATTTCTATGTTTAGTAACCATGGCAACAGCGTTCATCGAAATCAAAAACCGATGCACTAAATTATGTATCTTAGTGTAGTCTACTTGTGTGCCAAGTTATATTGAAATCAGACCAAAACTGTAAGAGGAGTGGCGTTTTTTTTTAAAAATTGTTTACAGACAGACGGACAGACAGACAGACAGCTAGACGGACGGACAGACGACGGACACCTTACTATCGCATAAGCTCTTCTGGTCTCTGACTAGTAGAGCTGAAAATAACATGTACACAGCAAGGTATGCATATGCTATTTAATATCCATGTCAAAAATGCTGTTGTGGTAAAGTTAACCATTAACAATCCTCCGCATATTATGTTACATTTATTGATGAATAATCATCCACTAAACGTTCATATCGTTAGTGAAGCATGTTCATATTCTTTATTGATACAATGTCTATTATATATCTTATGACAAAAATTATATTTGAATTAGACATCTGTCGAAAGGTCAACAGTTACTTCTCTAAGTTTTTTTTTTTCAATTTATTGATCCATGAATAATTTCATCTATGTATAATTATACATAATGGGTAATCATGAGCCATTAATAATACAAGGAAATTTTGAGAAATAAGGGATTCCATCACTTTCCAAAAGGAAGAAAGCATTGAAAATAACAGGTGATATTCCAATTATGTTGTAAATAGTTCCACTCACACAAACATGCAAGAATCTAGAAGGGGGGGATCCGGACCGGAATTTGAAGTTATCTAAGGTCTATACTGAAGTAAATAAAAAATGACTTTGAACCCCCCCCCCCCCCCCCCATGGAAAACGTGGACTCCACCATTACCATCACGAAAAAGGTTTTTTTTCACGTTTGAGAAAGGGATTTTAGATTTTTTTTTTTTTTTTTTTTTTTTTTTGCTCGTCAAGAAATTTCTGGGTCGGAATTTTTTGTCGACTGGGGTGGACCCCCCCCCCCCCCCCCCCCCCGAAAAAAAAACCTAGATCTGCGCCTGCACAAACATAAATATTTAACAAATGGTAACATTAAGACACCTGTGTATCGTGTAGGAAGCATAAATTAGACGTACATGTATTTCTTAAATTGCTAAACTTAAGTCAAAACATGGGGATCGTCTTTTACTTTTTCTGTGGTTGCAAGTATTAATTTTTCCCTTGATTTTTTTTATCATCATAGTAAAGAAGACCTAGTTACTTCAACACAACAGAAATTTAATTATAATTTAATTAAATTCCACAAATGAATGTTGTTGAATATGAAAATGTTCAAAGATTTACATGTTCAATGTATACAAGACTCAGTATAAAATATTTTGTATCCAATATATTAACATCAAGAAGTACAGAAGCCAAATCTAAAGATTTTAACTGTCAAGAAAAATGACAGCCAGAGAGGGTCCTTCTACGGGATGTCAAAGGAAAATGAGAACTGTACTCTGTAATGTTAAGGAGGGATTCTGCTCATATTTCTTGTATTTAAAAAATTAATGAAATTTTCATAGATTCAAGAAGACATTATCACTTTGTGATGGTATCAGTTAGATTGAATTTGACCGTTTTATTTTAGAAGCAAGGTCAGGTCAAGGTCATTATCTTTTACCTTGACATTTAGAGTAAAAAAATTACTGCTGCTAATCATGTGATGCTTACTTCTATTTTAAAAGTTAAAATGTTTTTCTTTTTACACAAAAAGATGCTACCATATCGGGTCTATCAGATGATTCTACCAAATTAATTGACATTTTTTAACTAAAAGAGATATTGGCTAATCCGAATTTCCTCTGTTGTTCTTAATTTTTTAGGATATACTAGTTATTTTTATATACTTCTTATATTTAAATATTCCTTATTTTCACATATGGTAAAGTATTCATAAAAATATACAAAATGATATGAAAATAAAAAGCTTTGACCGTTTAGTAAGAGAGAAAAAACCTTATTATTTATTTTTTGCTCAAATCTGTTTTTAGATCTGAAGCTTTCAAAAGCTAACAAAATTGAAGATTGTTTAGAAAATCATTATTATTTGCTCTAGTTTAAAACTTAGGGTTTTTTTAAAAATTAATTTTAACTAATTTCAAAATTTCTTTAAGTCTTTGATTGTTTAAAAAAATTAACTAAATGTATTGTTCTGTAAGTGATTTTGATAGGCAGAAAAGGAGATATTTTCATATGCCGCAGTTGCGCCAATTATATAGTCCCTGCTGGATTTCAAACTCAGTTTACCATTTCTATCTAAAATTGTACAATTATGACGAGTAAAGAAAAATATGATCTTTTAAGTACATTATAACTACGTATAAAAGACATACAAGCATATATACTTAGATTATTTCGTCTAGTCAGAAACCAGGGAAGAATCCCTCTTTAGGAACAAAATATGGCACGTAAAGATGATGACACTGAATCACTCATATACGTGTGAGAATTTTAAAATATTTAAAGATTGGACAGACATATATAGACGTACATACAGAGAGAGACAGAATTTTTTGATAAAAAAAAGTATAGTCTTTTTTATAATCAACTCCTTCTGTGTAAAATTTGAAATTGAAACAATGATTTTTTTTTTAACTTATCATGCAAGGATAGCTGTACATGAAGACATATACAGACAAAACAAGATGTGTATGTGAAACACTGATGCCCCGTATGGCAGCTTATAGTGAATGTTAAAGTTTCTCAAATGCAAGTCAAACTCCAGGCCCCGAGACCATAAACTGAGAATAGACTTCAGCCGAAATTTTGATTCTGAATATCTTGAGTTTTATTTAACAAATGTTTTTAAGAATTGCATGTTTGTGTATATAATATTTAAATACAAACACATGATGAAATTTTTGTTTGATTATCAAAATTATTTCAGACGTTATGTTCATTTGATATTTTGACTTTAGTCTGTTCTCAGTTTATGGTCTTGAGGCCAGGTCAAGAGATCAAAAATGTTTGTACCCAAAGAAAGGTCTTGTCTCATGGAATATACCTGTGAAATTTGAAAAGCCCTAGCACCAACTATTCGAGCCTAAGTTATGGCGAAGGTTAAAGTTAAACTTTAAAGTAAAATGTCAAGGTCAAGGTCAAATAGGGCCCCACAGGAAGGTTTTGTCACAAGTGATACACATGTTCGTGAAATGTGAAAGCCCTAAGTTTAAGTTTTTTTTTAAAAAGTAGGTCAAACTCCAAGGTCAATATCAAAATTGTTGGTATTCAAACAAAAGTCTAGTCATAAGGAATGCACATGAGTATGAAAGCCCTATCACCAAATGTTTAAAAGTTATAGCCAAGGTTAAAGTTTGTCAAAAGTAGGTCAAATTCCTAGGTCAAGATCAAAAGGTCAAAGTGGTTGGTATCCAAAGGAAGGTCTAGTCACAAGGATCACATATGTGAAGTATGAAACCCCTAGCACCAACCGTTAAAGTTATGGCCAAGGTTAAAGTTTTCTCATATGTAGGTCAAACTCTTAGGTCAAGGTCAAAGTGGTTGGTATCCAAAAAAATTTCTTTTCACTGGGAATAGACATTTTAAATACAAAAGCCCTACCACCAACCTTTCAAATGTTATGGCCAAGGTTAAAGTTTTTAAATGTAGGTCAAACTCCTAGGTCAAGGTCAAAAGGTAAAATTTGTTGGTACCCAAAGGAAGGTCTTGTCATAACGAATATACATGTGAAGTTTGAAATCCCAAGCAACAACTGTTCAAAACTTATGGCCAAGGTTATAGTCTCATAAAATTTTGCAAAAATAGGTCAAACATCAAGGTCAAATATGATGGTATCCAAAGAAAGGTCTTGTCATCAAGGAATACACGTGAAATATGAAAGTCATATCTCTAACCAATCAAAAGTTATGGGCAAGGTTAAAGTTTTTTTGTGACAGCTATACAATTGAGAGACACATTGTGTAAAAGATAACAGTATGGGGTTACTTTCAGTAGTTACATGTAATTAAATCCATACTAGTGGGGTGTCTATGTCCAAAGGTCTTTCTGTGCATTCTTTCATACTGCAGTTTTATGCTCATATTTTTACTCCAGAGTGGGGTGAAATTGCATGTCCATAGTTACTTTAGACAAGTTCTATATTATGTCTGAAAATCCTTGTGGGGTGAAGTCTATTTTAGTTTTTTTTTAAGCTTGCACTGTTATATCTAACATGAATAAACCAATTTATTGTGGGGTTAACCCCATAATACAAAAGTAACCGCAGAGTGCTGGAAAATACGCAAGATTTACCTCACAGTGTAACTCTCGTAAGAATAGTCAGACAGACAGATGAACAGGGCAAAAACTATACTACATATATATGTTATATAGGGCATAAAAACAATATTACCCAAAAATTGATAGTTTTCTATCTCTAATTGTAAATTATTTAAACAAGATTTGAAAAGGTATGGAGAAATTTGAGGTATAGCATCACAATAAAAGTATTGACAGACATAGAGAATCAGGGACAAACAGACTACAAAATTAATAGGTGACTTCCTCTTACAGTCAATGCTCTCTGTATAAAATTTGAAATACATGTAGTTATAATGAAAACTGTTTGTTATTGTTTTAAGATCGATTTACATTTAGGAATACATATAGACAGACAAAGTGATATGATCGCAAAATCTACAGGTGTCTTGCTCTTATAGTAAAGTACTTCAGTCTGTACAAAATTTGAAAGAGTAACATTGAAAACTGTTCTGTGTTAACAAATCATAACATTAGCATTGATGGACAGACAGATGGACAATGTGATTCCAACAAGGCTCCTGCATTTCAAGTGGGGCCCTAATAAACAAAGCTTGAAAAGAAAACAAAACAAAACTGCAAACATAAAATATGAAGCACTGCTAGGAGAGGAAGACCAGTAATCTCAGATTTCCATATTTATATGACTGTAAACACTGAACAGAAGAATATTTTTTTAATATTATTTGATAATTGTCTTTAACAGCAAAACTTTATAGATGGATACAATGCAAATAAAAAAGTCCATTGTCACATTTTAAGATTGAGTGAACATATATGGTTATGAGTTGGAATAGAAATGGTGCCAGCAAGGGTGATTCCAAAAGAGTCTGCTATAGTGGCTGCTGAGAGACTAAATTCCTTGTATTCTGCCTCAATCTGAAAAATACATTTATTTATTAAAAAAAATATTTATCTCCAGAATTGACAAAATTCATTTAACTTCATCAAACGTTACAATTCTAAATATTTTAAAATGTGATATCTTGGTACATATATAGAAACATTCCTGGTAGTTTGACTATAAACATGGTTTACTTTAAAACTTGTCAGTTCCAAACAATTGTCAATGACCACCTGATTTTTTTTCAACTCACATCTTCTGAAATTTTGTAGAAAGTGTTGACGAAGGCAGCTCCTCCCAGGAGGCCCTCAAACAAAACAATGGCAAATATGACCCAGATATTAGGAATGAATCTCAGAAAGACCTGCGTGGTGAGTATTGCAACATTGGCAACCTGAAAAAACAAGTTTTAATTGTAATTCTAGGTATTAAAGATCCTAAAGTTTAATAAAATACTTCAGTTAAGTTAATTTGTCACATAGTGAACATATTTGCTGGATTTCAACTGGTTGCAAGACATAAAACTTAATTGGTCTTCATAACACATCCTACTGATTGGCAAATCCAATGTGAAAAATAAGATGTAACAACTCAGTTTGTACTTCCTCTCAGACAAAATTAACTTTCCTAATGATTTCGGTTAAGTGCAAGATAATAAAGGTAATTAAAAGTAAAAAAAAAACTTCTGTTCCAAAGTACATTCTTTAAGTCAGCAAGTCAAGAGAGCATTCTCATCTGACACCAAGTAGATCATAAATCTACATAATTATATTGTTATTCACTTTAGTTATTAAGTGAAAAAATGCAAAGATCTCTCTCTCTCTCTCTCTATGTACCTGTAAAACTGGTAGTATCCACAACTTGTTGATTTTGAACACATTGACTGAGGACCTTGAGATAAATACTCCTAACTGGTAGTCCACTTGATACCTGTTCAAAGTGAATTTATAATTATATATAATATTTCTTTTCTTGAACACTTCCATTCTTGGTTAACCAGGTTTGTTATTTTGTAAAAATTTATGCAGTTTGCTGCTTTCAAAACTTCTACTCCAAATGCTTCTTCCTTGAGCAAATGATGAAAGAATTGTGCAAATAAGTGGCCAACTTTCTGGAAAATTCACTTAGTTACCACAGTGACTGCAGTGTACATAAAGGATACTCCATAGTCTGTTGTTGGATATGCTGTTTATCTATGAGTTGTGTGTTTTCTAGAAAACATACTAGTTGAATAAAAATCATATCCAACAACAGACCAATTGTAGATCCTTTTTATCATATGTTTAACATATAGCTATTACTTTCCCGATTGTTTTTATATGTGAATCCACTTCATTTGACTTTATCACTTTTACGCAAAAACTATTGCAACATCACAACTGCTGATATGAAAACAATATCATATGAGCTATATATCCACTGTATGAGGGGTAAACAAGTGATAAATACAATGTATGCAATATAAAATACCTGTATTTGTAGTTTGTATGAATTGTAGGGCTGTGTATTGAGCAAAATTTATGATATTGAGCAAAAATACGATACGATACAATATTTTATAAAGCGATATGTGATATATTGGATTATTTATTAAGTTTTTCAAAAATGTCTTGTAAAGGACATTTAATGCATAAATTTGATAAAAATTGGGTGAGTCTAACATAACATGTTAAAATATAGTTGTCTACGTATTTTGTAAGAGTTATTTAAGATGTGCTATCTCCTTAATGTTTATTTCATTATTGACCAGTTTTAATTCAAAACAGTTAAAAATAATCTTTGGTAACTGAAATTCCCAACTTTTTTACAGAATTATTAGGAAAACTGCCTGTCCGATACATATTGGAAGTTATTTTTTCGATACGATACATTCCTGAATATTGATACGTATTGATTATTCGATATATTGACACAGCCCTAATGAATTAAAGATGGCATACATACCATCTGTACTGTTCTTTCTCAGACAGCCAGATATCATTAAAATACAGCAATTCATACTGAAAAATAGAAAATTTCTTCGGTGTATTTCATCCATAATGCTATAGAAAGCTGATTATTTGATTATCTTTCAAAATCAAAGTAAATACAGTGAAGTGTGATTGGTTGTTTACATACTGCAAATTGTAAATACAATGTATCTCTACTTTTTCATTACATACCAATCCCTGGTTAATGAAGTACTCTGCTATATATACCACACATAGAGGTATCATATACTTCATCAAGGGCTACAAATACAGGGGAAAAAACTACTAGTATTTATTTTCAAATGAAAACTTTAAAATTAATTCATTTCAACAAGTGTTCTATATATACTTGACATCATAGAATAAAAGATGATTCTGTTCCCAAGTAAGTCTGTGGTCAATTTTTATACTATAGTGTTATTATTTGGATGTACTATGCCGAATTATTATGCTTCCTGTCAGTTTGTCTCTATATAACCAATACCAAACTATTTTCGCATAGTGTTCTAAGGAGCTATATATCATAATTATACTAAATGTATGCCCTGACTACTATTTTTTGAAATACCAAGACTTCCTACTGTTTCATCAATTAAATATTCTGAAAAATTATCCAATAAACCTGACATACACATGTGCGGCTATGTTAAGGCTGTCCGAAGGCTTAATATGCATTAGAAAGACACTATTATATTTTGAGCTAGATTTTGATTTCAATTTGTAATCTATGTATACATGTGCAGTAAATTTGTAAAGAGAGTTTAATAACGTATTGAGAAAAAGTATATTTGTGATGTCACATGACTGTGTTGATCACGTGACAGTCACTTACAAAATTTCCTAATTGTTGCACAAAAATCCCATCGGCACAAGTGAAAAACAAAATTATTGAGAATAGTTTGTTACATAAATCAATTAAACGTATTCTTGGGTACATATAAAATGCTGGGGGCAAGTCTGAGTTTTACTCCTTAAGAAAATATTTCACGACAAATTCAACTTATCCACATACAAGGGGGCATTTTCCACTCTTCATCGCAATTTATGCAAAATAGGATAAATTACATACGATCCCCCAGCAAAATTCAGTTAGAAGACATACTTCTTTAGTAGATTCACGTAGAACATCTTCAGTTTATCTTTATTAATCGCTTGTGTCAGTCTAATATATGCATGATTTATAAATTCTAACTTTGTCTACAGACGTGTAAGGGGGAGCGTTTCATATTCATTTTTTGTTATAATTGTCTGAATACGTACATTATCAGAAAGAAAAAGGAATTACGATATTGTATGGCAAATAATCACCATCATAACAGCACAGAGAAACTTTAAACAACAATTCAGACACCTGATTTAAACATCAATGTTGATGTTGAAATAAAATCTACATGCCATGGGATGGAATGTAAAAGTTATGACACTTTCCCCATCATGACTGCTCAAGTTTGCAGTGACTTGACATCATATTCTATTATGACATCATATCTTGGTAGTTCACAGAAGTACCAGCGGCTGGTACACTGTGAAATTTTAATCGGACAGCCTTATCCTAGCTGCATGTGCTTTGCAAAAAAAATTGTGATCAAATTAACTTCACTCTATTCATTCTAGAGGTTTTAACATGTACATTTGTTAAAGATGAAACCTGCATAAGTATACTAGCATTTGGGTACAAACAAACATCTTTTTTTTTTCCCCAAAGTTTTAAATCTCTTTTCAATCTCTTTATTTAAGATCAATCAATTGAAAGTATATCTGCTTGAGGCTATCTACATGACTGTATACCATTTATCAGGTAATTTTGGCTTGCTGCAAAAGTAGGTTTATTTGGTGGATCATAAAAAATTGCCAAAACAATAAAGTGCCAATATTTCCATAATGTTTACACAGAGTTCTTATACAGAGTATTAAAAGCAAAAGTCCATCAAAATATATAAAGCCAATATTTTAACTTCTTTTGATATCGAAATCACCAAATATTCTGATACAAAAATTACCAAGATCTTTGTTTCAATTATTGTATAATTAATGTATAAAATATGTACACTGATATAAAATTAAATACAGGGAAATGCTTAATAGGGAGCAATTATAATGGCCCCTATTAAATTAAGTATTACATGTAATACCAACAAGACCTACATGTGTACATCCATTTACTTACTTTAAGAAGTTGCAATTTATCTCTAATTGTGAGTCTTCTTTTTATCTTATCTGGAAAAAAAATTTAGTAAATGATTAAGTTTGCTGAAAAGTTTGTTATGCATTAATTCTTATTACTTTAAATTAAAAGATCTACACATTTTTCTTTTATTTGATCACTGAATTGATTTAAAGAATCACTGTCTAGTTTGTTGGGTACACCAGAACATCAACGACACTTGGAAATGTAGGATAATTTGCATAATGGGCTTTGCACATTTCCAACTGACGTCAGACAGAAAGACAGCCATTAGAGATTGACATGCATATTAGGCACTTGAACTTTCACTTGGCAAAATTTACATTCAGTTGTAAAAATCAAGAAATCAACACAGTCACTTAACTTTCAAAGTTATTACCAAAAAAAAGTTTGAAATGTAAATATTTGCAAATTAATTTATAGGTTCAATATCTGTAAAACAGCACAATACCAGTAATTTACACAGCACTAAAATATCACTGATAAAGGTGATTCATAAATCATGGCACCCTCCAATAATGTAGGCACTTTTTTTAAAACAGTCCAGTAATGGTGATGTTATCAAGTTCCCAACAACTTTGTTAAAATATATTTATCCCATGTTTACCCCTTTATCCCGTGGATATGACTCATTGGATAAATTTTTCATAATCCACAGTTGTGACATCACAATGGTTTTTGCGTTAGCGCGATGAAGTAAAATAAAGTGGAGTCCTATATAAAACAGTGTAAAACATTGGTTGTGAAGTATTAAACATGGGATAAAAAGAATCTCCCATGATTTGTAGTTGGATATGATTTTTATCCAACTCGTTGTGTGTTTTTATCCCCTCGCCAAGGCTCGGGGATAAAAAACACACAACTCGTTGGATAAAAATCATATCCAACTACAAATCATGGGAGATCCTATATGTATGTTACATGTACTCATACACAAAAATTTCTTAATCTTTCATCACTGGAGCTTACCATCTGCATCATCAGATTCCTTTAACAGGCTACTGGTGTCTTCGCTGTATTTTACTATGTATTCCTTCTGACAGAATTTTTTTGGTTTCTTTATCACAAAAAAGAAGCTGAAATAAAAGTTGTTCATGAATATAAATGGTAACATTTTGAAAAAAAAGAGACTAAATATGAATGAACATTTTGAGAAGCTTCATTTTGGAATGTACATTATACATGTTTGCTCAATTTACCTTATAAACATAAGAACAGGTATGACAGTCATTACGAGTAATGTTGTCCGAGGTGTCAGACCAGCTGACGTTAAACCCGCGTACGAAAGAGCACCAAATATCCCAGCACCACCTGTTCCTGATGAATAGGACGAGATCACATTTCTAAACAAAAGATTATAATAATTATTTACAGTTTCTAGTACAAATAAAGGTTAAAAAGAATTAAAACTATTACACTACTTCTAAATTCTTCCAATTTAGCAACAAAGATTAAAGGTTCTAAATTGTTAAATTCATTGTCAATTTTAATTCGATAAATATAGCCATCTTATTATCATGCAAACAGAATTATGAAGTCATTGAATTTACTTTTCAAAGAAAGAAGAGAATCCAAAATAAGTAGTTTCTCCTAGACCTCCACTGATACTGGCACAAACAACTCCTGTAAAATGAAATTAGGGAATACACTGAATCTTTTATTGCATACTAGAATATAGGTATCAAAAATGAAATCACAAAGCTCAGACACCTTGATGAATGTTATCTATAGCACAGTTGCATACCAAATAAATGTTCTCGTACTGTGCTACCTAAGGTGCAACATCCATGCTCATTTGGTCAAGGTAGGGCCTAGGGCTTACAGTTATTTGGGAATGGACCTGCTCCCCAAATTTAAACTCTTCAATCATCCAAAAAATGTAGGTCAGCATCCAAAGCAGGTCTGAAAGTGTGCATTCCTAAATGCAACATTCATGCAAGTTTGGTGTAGGTCGCTGTAAGCCTTACAGTTACTAGGAAATGGACCTGCTCAAACATAAGCCTGTTCATCAGTTATATGAACCATTTGAAGCAAATCTGGTCAGACTAGTACATTGTACTTACAATTTGGGAATAGACATGCGTCAAAAACTTTAACCTGGTCACTCTGTCAGAAAATGTAGATCTAAAGCAAATCTTATTGTGCACATCCATGGATGCATCATTCATGCATGCTTGGTGAGGTAGGGCTTATCAAGGAATTGACCTGCTTCAAAGACTTTAACCAGGTCAATCTTCCAAAAAATGTAGGTCAGATACAGTATCCAAGGCAAGTCTGGTAGAGTGCATCTTAGATGCACAATCAGTGATGCAAGTTTGCACTTGATAGGGCTAACAGCTACTTGGAAATGGACCTGCTCTAAAACTTTAACCTGGTCATTCATCCAGAAGATGTAGGCCAGAATTTAAGTAGCATCAAAGCATGTCTGGTCCCTAAATGCATCATCCAAGCAAGTTTGGTCCAGGTGGGATTTAGTAATTACTTTGAAATAACTTGCTCCTAAAACTTAAACTAGAATGAGGATATAGATGTAGTATAAGCTCATCTCAACTTTGTCAAGGGGAGCTAGATTTAGCTAAGTCTCAAAGTGTACAAATATTCAGACTCTTTATCTTCCTCTATAATGACACATCTTAATTAGCATTCATATCATAAAGATCATACCATTTTGTAACTTAAATGTTTAAGGCTTAACTCAATTTTTTAGCATATATGTATAGATCTTATATCATTTATATTTTTACTCATTGATATAAGATCTTTGAACTTGTATTTTTTCCTTACCAAATATACTCATCCATATTCCAGTGGAGAATGACACTATCAAGAAGCTGGCTACGGAAAATAGTACACATGCCAAAACACGTACTCTAGAAAAAAAAAGTTCAGCATCAATCACTGCTCACTTTACGATACCACACTATTTCATTGAACAATACAAATTTAAATTAATGTGATAGCATGTGCAGATTCAACAGGGGTTGGAAGAGGGGGAGGGGTGTTATTAAGTGTTTATTTCCTACTTACTTATAACTAATATGAAAAATAAAGAATGGTGCTGTCAGTTTAATTACTAGAGTCGGAATGATGTCTGCCAATAAAATTGCCTGTAACAAAAATTCACAGTACACAGTTAGTGTTAAATAAACAATGTTCTTAACTTGCCTAATATTTACTCTCTGTGTTTTGTTATTACAAGGAAACCAAAACAAAAATATATCAAAATTAACCACTTGATAGTATTTTAACTATTGTAAACAAGAATTTCATCATGAGGCAAATTAAACAATGTAAAATTTATCCATATTTGTGTAACGTCACAGAAAATATACATAGTTAAACACATTGTTCATGTATTACATGATTTCCATACATGTATATATCCCTTAGGTATAAGAAATGACTTTTGTTTTCTTACCCCTGTGGAGATTTCATTACATTCTAAGTATGTGGCATTAGATGAGGTTGGAGTAGTTGTGATCTACAATAGTGGACAAAGAAACTGTATATTGCACAATGTAAAAATAAAAGAATTTCCAATGCATCAAAGACTTACACAAACACACATAAAATCTCTGTTTAAATATTTTTTTATACTTTCATTAAAAAAATTAATAGTTTGGAATGCCTGCTGTGGTCTTGCTTTCCTGCCCTGAGTAACAAAGCTTTCACCAATATTTGATAATACATGTACATATATTGCAGCTTTTTCCTCTAAACAAAAATGTTCATGTGATCTTTGAACTCCATCCTCCTCCTTAGTGTCCCTTAAAATTAAAGGCATTTTTTCAAATTTATCCTTTAAACATGTTAAATCTGGATTTATAAATACCGGTATATAAATGTCTAAGTCCTTACATTCTCATCCTTCTGGTCCTTTTCTTCTTGGTCTTTCAAGATGTCATGAGCAGCACTCAGCATAATAACATATGCAAAGTTATTACACAGTCCCAGTGTCCTATCAAACATATGATATATAGACAAAGTTATTACATAGTCCCAGTGTCCTATCAAACATATGATATATAGGCAAAGTTATTACATAGTCCCAGTGTCCTATCAAACATATGATATATAGGCAAAGTTATTACATAGTCCCAGTGTCCTATCAAACATATGATATATAGACAAAGTTATTACATAGTCCCAGTGTCCTATCAAACATATGATATATAGACAAAGTTATTACATAGTCCCAGTGTCCTATCAAACATATGATATATAGACAAAGTTATTACATAGTTCCAGTGTCCTATCAAACATATGATATATAGACAAAGTTATTACATAGTCCCAGTGTTCCTATCAAACATATGATATATAGACAAAGTTATTACATAGTCCCAGTGTCCTATCAAACATATGATATATAGACAAAGTTATTACATAGTCCCAGTGTCCTATCAAACATATGATATACGCAAAGTTATTATATATTCCCAGTGTCCTATCAAACATATGATATACGCAAAGTTATTATATAGTCCCAGTGTCCTATGACATAAATGATTTAGGAAACGTTTTACATAGTCCAAGTGTCAAATGGAACATATGATACTGTATCTAAGCTATTTATTACACAGTTCCAGTGTTTGATGATTAGAGATGGATACCATCAAGGATAAAATGGTACGATACCAACCAATATTTTCAAAATAATATGGTACTTTTTAGGTCACCTGAGTCACTCAGGTGACCTATTGCTATCTGTTTTCGTCCGTCGTCGTCTGTCGTGCGTCGTGTGTTAACATTTGAACATTTTCAGCTTCTTCTCTGAAACCGCTGAACCAATTTCAGCCAATTTTAGCATATGGCATCTGTGTGTGAAGGGGAACAAAATTTGTGAATATCATGGTCCCTGCCCCCCTGGGGCTTGAGGGGTGGGGCTAAAACCACCAAAATTAATGCAATCTTTAAAAATCTTCTTCTTTACTCCTGGACATCAAGCAGTCAAACTGTTGGCATGATTGTAATAAGCACTGAACCCTCTACCAAAATTGTGAAATTCATGGCCCCAGGGTCAGGGGTTCTGGTGCTAGGGCGGGGTTATATAGATCATATAGTGAATGTGCATTATTTCTTTGAAAATCTTCTTCTCTACTCCTGGGTATTATTGAAACAAATTAAATACTTAGTTATGATAAGCAAGAGTGACTCTACCGAAATTGTGAAATTCATGGCCCCAGGGTCAGGGGTTCTGGTGCTGGGGGGGGGGGGGGGCTATATAGATCATTTAGTGAAAGTGCATTATTTCTTTGAAAATCTTCTTCTCTGCTTCTTGGTATTATTTAAACAAATTAAATACATAATTATGTTAAGCAAGAGTGACTCTACCGAAATTGTGAAATTCATGGCCCCAGGGTCAGGGGTTCTGGTGCTGGGGGGGGGGGGGGCTATTTAGATCATATAGTGAAAGTGCATTATTTCTTTGAAAATCTTCTTCTCTACTCCTGGGTATTATTGAAACAAATTGAATACATAGTTATGATAAGCAAGGGTGACTCTACCAAAATTGTGAAATTCATGGCCCCAGGGTCAGAGATTTTGGTGCTAGGGCAGGGCTATAGATCATATAGTGAAAGTGCATTATTTCTTTGAAAATCTTCTTCTCTACTCCTGGGTATTATTGAATACATAGTTATGATAAGCAAGGTGACTCTACCAAAATTGTGAAATTCATGGCCCCAGGGTCAGGGGTTCTGGTGCTAGGGTGGGGCTATACAGATCATATAATAGTGAAAGTGCATTATTTCTTTGAAAATCGTTTTCTCTACTCCTGGGTATTATTGAAACAAATTGAATACATAGTAATGATAAGCAAGGATGACTCTACCAAAATTGTGAAATTCATGGCCCCAGGGTCAGGGTTCTGCTGCTAGGGCGGGGCTATATAGATCATATAGTGAAAGTGCATTATTTCTTTGAAAATCTTCTTCTCTACTCCTGGGTATTATTGAAACAAATCAAATACATAGTTATGATAAGCAAGGGTGACTTTACCAAAATTGTGAAATTCATGGCCCCAGGGTCAGGGGTTCTGTTGCTAGGGCGGGGCTATATAGACCATATAGTGAATGTGTATTATTTCTTTGAAAATCTTCTTCTCTACTCCTGGGTATTATTGAAACAAATCAAATACATAGTTATGATAAGCAAGGGTGACTCTACCAAAATTGTGAAATTCATGGCCCCAGGGTTAGGGGTTCTGGTGCTAGGGCGGGGCTATATAGATCATATAGTGAATGTGCATTATTTCTTTGAAAATCTTCTTCTCTTCTCGTGGGTATTACTGAAACTAATTAAATACATAGTTATGATATTAGGAAGGGTGACTCTTCCAAAATAGTGATTTTCACGACCCTTGGATCAGGGGTTCTGATGTTAGGGCCGGGCTCTATTTATTATATAGTGAAAATGCATTAATGCTTTAAAAATCTTCTTCTCTGCTCGTGGGTATTTTTGAAACAAACTAAGTACATTGTTATGATAAGCAATGATGCCTCTTCCAAAGTTATGAAATTCATGGCCCCAGGGACAGGGGTTCTGGTTCTAGGGTGGGGCTATTATAGATCCTACAGTGAAGGTGAATTTTTTCTTTGAAAATCTTCTTCTCTGCCCCTGGGTACTATTTAAACAAACTAAATACATTGTTATGATACACAAGGATGCCTCTTCCAAAATTGTGAATTTCATGGCCCTAGAGTTAAGGGTTCTAGTGAAAAGGTTTGGGGGGGGGGGGGGCTTTATTGATTATATAGTGAAAAAGCAAAATTTCTTTGCAAATATGAAAATATTCTTTTCTACTTCTGGTTAAAAAGCAAAGAAGCTAAGTATATAGTTATGCTGAGCAAGAGTGCTTCTTCCAGAGTAGTGAACTGCATAACCCGGGTCAGATGTGCTGGTGTAAGGGTGGGGCTCTTGATAATATAGTGAAAATGCATTAAATCTATTAAATAATCCTGTCTGCTCCTTAGTGTTAAGCAGATAAACAAAGTGATTACTTGTGATGAGCAAACTTCTGGTCCCAGGGTGAGAGACTCTAGTGTTTCTTGGTGGGGGGGGGGGGGGGGGGGGCTCTATTGATAATATAGTGAATCTGAAGTAAAAATGCATTATTTCTTTAAAAATTTTCTCTGCACTTGGGCATATCAGAGGCAAAAGATTAAAAGGTTTAATAAGGAAGGGTATTTTTACCAGATTTTTTAACATCTGGACCATTTGTACAAGTGTTCTGGTCCTGGCCAGGGCTCTATTAATTTGTATTCTACTGAGAGGAGTTATTCCCCTTTGCCGTTTACTTTTGATAATTAATCACTGTAAACAATGTACTTGAAAGGTTAATAGAATAAGAGAATTATGCAAGAATTTTTATTGTATAATACAAAAAGTATTTTCATAGTTTTAATGATCAGGTAGACTTGTAAGTAATAGATAAATAAAAATGGAACAAAAATAACTTGTCTTATTAAATGTTCATCAAAGACCAAGAGAGGCCAATGTAAGAGATTTCAACAAGAAATTAAAATAGTACAGAAGCACTGATAGGTTTTTTTTAATATGCTGTATAGTGATAGTGATAAATGGGGAACAGAATAGAACCTAATTTATAAACTATCAATGAATACTAGATTAATTATTTTGTTAATCCTGATCACCCTATTTTTCTTGCTTTTGGGCAACAAAGCTTCACCTTTCAGTTCATTTTATACTCAGAGTCTCTATGGATCCTCTAAATTGTTGTAGTATACTCAGGTGACCGTTAAGGCCCTTGGGCCTCTTGTTTCATGATACCTTGAACTGTCAATATACTTTGGTGTCAGTTCTGAGTATATAATACTGTAAACCAACTTTTATTCACGTGTGAGAAATATTCGCGAGTTTCGCGACCTATTTTAACTTGCAAATATTAATTGCCGCGAACCAATTATTTTGCTTTGCATTTGGAGAAAATAGTTCCTCGGTCGAGAAAATTAATTGTCGCGGATTGATTTCAAACTGATGATTCGCGAATAAAAGATGATGCAAATAATAGTTGGTTTACAGTACAGATAACGACTTTATGACACATTATTACACAGCCCAATTGTCCTATGATGCATGTTATATAAAAGCAAAGGTATTACATATTCCCAGTAATCTATATATAGTTTTCAATTGACATGATTTTAGCATGAATTATTTTCCATTGGTTGCCATAGTGGAGGTCTACAAGCCAGTCGAGATTTCTTCGTTAAACTTGTCATACTGGGCAATGAGGTGAAGATAACACAGTTTTTTTTATTATATACATATAAGTCCATAATAGCTTCCTTTAATTTAAAATTTAAGTATTTTAAAGATTTTTGTCCTTATATTTCTGCCATACATGTTTAAAATTGGTTGCTCTAAGAGGAAAATTCACTAAATTTGACTTCCAAGATGGCGACCAAGGGAAATATCTCAAAGGGAAAATATGTCACATGAAAACAATCTATTGTTAATTTGATAGATGCAAAGCTACGATCTACATAAACCTGGCATTTAGTTTTCCATCATAGTCATTGTTATTCAATTCATTTTCTGCATGCTTTACTGCAGCGTCTTGTCATGCTTTACTGAATGTGTTCAAAATATACGCATGTTCACATAAATAAATAGCAAAAATTATACTCACCAGAAACCAGCGAGGTTCCTCCATTTGTGAGCAGAAGAAAATGAAGAATCTACATGATCTAATTGAAAAAAATAAATAAATATGATAATCTGAACATGCTGAATAATATGGAAGAAAACAACTTCATAAAGTACATAGAGGGTGTCTGAAAAGAGAGGTAACCCTTTCATACTTTTGGTATGCTGATTTAATGTTGAAGAATTTATATCAAAATATGTACACATATAAATTAAAGATGTAAGTTTTTTTCTGGTAGCATAATTTAGCTAATATGTCAAATAATGTTATTCTAACAGCATTTTAAATACAGAGTACCTTTTGGTCATTTCAATAATTAAAGACGCTCTCTAAATGACGTCCTTTCATGAGCTTCCCTTCTCTAAATCACACTTTGAAATTGTTAATAACAATTTGACACATTTCTTCACTGATCTTCTTAACTTCCCGTTTGATGTTTGACAAAAGCATATTTGTGTCAACTGGATTTGGTCTGTAAACAGAAGACTTGAGGTACCCCCAGAAAAAGTTATTGCACTGGCTCAAATCAGGACTGTGCGCAGGCCAAGATTGTCCACAATCCTTCACTTCAGGGTATCACTGGGAAATCACCTCGTCACGGAAGATTTTGACTGTTGAGATAATCTAATATAATATTAGATGTATGTGCTAGCTGTTGCACCATCTTGCATGAACCAGATATTTTGCATATTTGCTGTTCGCTTTCGGAGTGCAGGAACAAATTTGTTTTTCAAAAGTGACAGTTATCGTTTTGAATTAATTAACAGTGCCTGTAAACACATACGGGTCAATCACTCCATGTGACAATTAAGTACACAAAACAGTTAATTTATCACTGTGCAGTACTACTGATCCTTGTCGCTCGAATTTGCATAAAATCTTGTAGATGTTTCCTGCTTACAATTCTTATAATAGGATCTAAACTTTCGCTGAATGTCTGTTACACATTTCATTTCATAAAATTGTTAGACAATAAAAACATGCTGTTCTGACCTGAGTCATGCCATATTGAAATATTTAATTTAAATGATGTCATAGTGTTGGAACGTCATAAATTCTGGTGCATTATTTGTTCAAATAGTAAAAACTTTTGATTGAGACCTTTCAAATGAAATCAGTCTCATAGAAATAACACGGTATTTAGCAAAGTTATCAAAATGTTCAAGTGTTACCTTTCTTTTCAGACACCCTGTACTTCTAAAGGTATGTGTAATTTTAACAGCTCTAATCACACTTTCAATTGTCCTGGATTAATATTACATACCTTAGTCATACACAGATTTTTTTTTTATTTTTTGAAATTGATCAGTTTTTAAAATGACCCAGGAATCTCTACTTGAAAAAAGTACACATTGCACAGATAATTGGAAATCTTATATAGCAGAGTTGGAAAGCATTAAAAGTCATTTTATTTCTTTTACTTTCATTAAAGTTAATATAACAACTGAAATTGGAGATTAAAAAAATTTGGATTAAGTACTCCCCTGGTTTTAAAAAGTAAAAGGAAGGGAATTGCACTGAGTAATGCAACAGGGGCTGATAAATCCCATTGCCCAGCACCTGGGACTTGTGAATTTTGGGGATGAGCAAGTGAATTTTTGTTAACCATTTGCCTGAGGGCAAGTGCACTTTTTCAAGAAAATTTGAAGTGGACATGGTGGCAATGTGGCTTGTAATGATCATTTTCTTACTTTTGATAGTTTATGATGGGGCAAGTAAAAATTCAGGTAGGGCAAGTGAATTTTGACTATGCACTTACCCATGAGCAAGAACTTGAAAAATCTATTCAGTATTTGTCAGCCCCTGTGCAAGAATTCAAAACCAAACCAGACCCCCTGAACTTCAGGAAGTTGCTATACTAAGTACAACTGAAGTGTTTGTCCACTGTCCACGACTTTTCTAACCGTCGTAGAAAAATCAAAACAACAACTTGCGTTGCGAGATCTGTTAAAGCTGTCGGTATGGCTTAGCTTTATAATTTACCTTCCATATCAGATTTCAATAATGTTGAACATTCTTCGTATTAACGGGGTTTTAAAAATATCCTGTATCTCTAAATCGAGAGAATAAAAGCCAATCATATGACACACTGCACTTAGAGTCTACTGTCTAGACTAACACCGTCAACATTTCATTTTCTCACCTCTAAGTCAGGAGAGTGGACAGTATTCAATTTATTAATTCGCTCAAGAAATGTGTTCAGTACTCATTTAAAATATTCAATAAGGATGGGTTTGTAAATGCATTTACGTGAATAACCAGGGAATTGTGTATTAGTATATAAGTCCTTAGAATAAATAGACAGGAAAATAACAAAATGACGCAAATATGTGAAATGTCTATATAGAAAAGTTTTATGAGTATTTCTTCATGTTGCGTAATCTAGATACGTGTTTACTTAGTTTATCTTTTCCCGATATTTGCATTTAAAGGTAAAGTGTAGTATTTTGATAGTAACAAGTTGCTAAAAAGTCAAAAATCTTATCCATATTGAGAAAATGCCTGGACAGAGAAGGGGGCGTGGACACAAGGGTGGAAGGAGCGGATCAAGAAGAATTCGTAAGCCCAACGGAACGATTGGAGAGCATGAAGAGATAGGGAATGATTCAGAGATAGAGCTGCAGGATGATCCAGTCGGATTCTTCACCAAAAATGTTAAATTTGATCTACATTTTAAAGAACAAACGGAAAACTGGTCTCTCTACTGTGCTGCAATACGAACGATGGAAAAGTGGAAAGTTGAGGTCCCACAACGTAAGTAAAAAATTGATTTATAGGACCATTTCTTAAAATTACTTTAAATTTTTTTTTATACATATGATTTTTTTATACAAAATACCAGAGAAAAAAAGACAACATTATTTTTGGTTTGGAAAGGAAATGTTTGACAAGTCGAACTACATTTACCAGGACTGACTGAAGTACGTTAACTACGATATTTAAAAATTTTATGAAATAGACAATAAGTTCACTATGAAATTGTTAAGAACTCATATTTCAAAGCTATGCTCTCATTATTTCTACTCCGAGGCCATCAATCGAAGACACAAATTCACAAAAATAATAATTCATAAATGAATGAATAAATAAAAGAAATTAAAAAAAAATCAGAAGGGATTAGAAAAGGAGTTGACTGGGCTGTGATTAACTAAAATCATTTACAATATACAGCGCACAGGGAACAAACATACATTTTTATTTACAGCTTTTAAGTTTGTTTCTAATATGTTTGATATCCAGAGCAATATCTTTATTCAGAATGGCTTATGCTTTTCTTATCTAATGAAAGATTCTAAAGTCAAGGCGTTGGCTGCTGCCTGGGCGCGCGGGGACCACGAGTTGGCAGAGACACTTTTACAAAGAAAAAACCTGTTCGGTGTTGTGGAGGTGTCAAAAGCAGTCGTTTTATTGGACTCGGGCAGACAAGCAAGAGCGTTTGAAAAGAAACACAAGAGACTTCAAATTCAGAAAAATAATGTGAAACCGAGCACGATGGGAAAACTGAAATCCGACATAGACAACTTGATGAAAATGAAACCCTCGGTAAAACATCACAGTCAAATGCGACAGGAAACTTTTTTTTTAATTCTCTGTTGTATTTCATAAAACAAATAGTAAATGAGCTTTCTGCTGTGCATGCTTGTAAATGTGCACATTCTTTTACAGACTGGATCAGCTAGTGGCGCGGTATGTAAGCACGTGAAGCGTTGGACACGCACCTTAACTAAACAGGAGTTGGAATTCTTTGCTCTCCACTTTCCTGTTGATCTTTGGAAAAGGCTGGCTGACATATGTCATTTTCATCCAACCAAGGTAATATGATATTGTTTTCATATGCATATGACGATAACACTTGATGTGCAAACCGTTTAGAATCCACTCTGATAGTACATGTATATTCCATTCTAAATTTTCTTTACGATATATCGTAAAGAAAATTTAGAATGGAATATAGATAAACATATATCATGTACATGTATTTATTTAATGTACATTTAAATCAATCATTATATTTTCCATTTTTCAAAAATTGCCACTTAATTTTAATACTCATTGAAAAGTTGACAACCATTCCACATGTATACAGATATATTGGGATGGATTTTACTTTTTTTGGCAGGATTTTTCTGTTCCGTGGTTTTTACCTTTCTGTTTTGGAGAGTCCCCACCAGAGGATAGTCTAGTGTTCAAGTCTCGGAGCATCACACAGAGCAACATTAATGAAATACTACAGGATCATAATATCCCGTACACCAAAGTTAGATCATTTATTGCCCACTTGACAGACGAAATAAAAGGAAAAATAGCACAACGCGAGGAAAAAATGGATACAATTTTATGGTTTAAATTCTTATTTTACTTGTCAATTTCAGCACGATAATGCACATATTTATTTTTGATACTCAAGAGCATCCTCTGAGTACGAGCAGTCTACTGCCAGATAAGTTGGTGTTACAGGGAGTTCAACAACCTCGTTTAAATTAAGCATTGGTCGTTATAATGACCTTTTTAACAAATCTAACCTACTGGGTCGTATTTTTGCTGACGTGTTTCATACCAATTGTAAGGCCTTTGTTTTTATACTGAATTTGACTAAGGAATGTTCCGTCTACATGACCAATACATTGGTCTCAAAGGGGCCGGGGTGTGTCAGGTCAACAGGGGATGCTTACTCCTTCTAGGCACCTTATCCCACCTCTGGAATTTCCGGAGGCCCGTGTTTTATACTCTGCAAACAGACTTGTATTTTTCGTAGATTTTTTTAAGATTGATCACTATTCGTTATCTTCACTTTTTTCATTTCATGTTACCCTTAATGAAGTTGGGGGACATATTTAGTAATCAAAGATGGCTTGGACAATCCTAATGAACTTCACAGTATAAATGATAACCGAAAAATGTAGTAGCGCATGCAATATTCAATATGGCCATCATTGCCATGGAAATGGACCTAGGTCGGTTTGTGGTGAGATATGCTTGGTCATGGGCAGAAAATCTTTCATGGGAAATGGATGCTATTGAGTGACATTGGTTAACAATAGAAATAAAACAGATTTCATGCTGTTTTAATGCGTTATGATCGTGTAACAAGTTTAATTTATTCGTTATAAGAGTCTTTGGGGGATATTATTTAAGAATATTCTTTAAAGCTATGTTTACAAAATATGCTTGTATTGTATGCGATACGTCATCGTGTATACATAGTAAAATACAGATGATTGAGAATTTTACCTTGACAAAAACAAAACTACTGTAATATATCTTTTCATCTATATTATGATTATCTCGCCAAATATTTGCAAAAATTGGGAACTATTATAGTTTTTATGTATATTAAAATAATCTTATACTTTCCATTGATTACACATTGTTTACCGTCTCTATTACACATTCCTTACAAAAAATGTGGATCGATTGACTTTTTTTTAAGGTATTACGAGGAACTGAAATGTCCACAGGTAGACAGGGAATTAGATAGCCGTCTGAAGAAAGGAGATCCAGTCACTCTGGCGCTTGGAAAGCTCCTCGAACGTATTCTTATGTGTCGGCTATTACAGGCAGGTGAACCACAAAACCCAGAGGAGGAGTATGAGCAAATGAGGCGGATTTTGCAGTCCTGGGATTGGGAAGGCCTACCAGAGGGCCCAGGGGAAATAATGTATACACCCAACCCAGACATTGCAACATTTTCAACAAAGCTTTCAGATATTGCTCAGGAACGTCTTGCAAATATAAGGTAGCCGCTTTGATTTTTTAAATTAATTTTGTCTCATGTTTAGCCAATTGAACAAATGCTCAAAAGATGTTATATGATATTTTCTTTGAAAACAAATCAAAATTTATTTGATATCGTTTAAAACGTGGTGGAAATGCTCATTTGGGACAGACTATACAAATTTAGTCCTACTTACCATTTTACAGCTGCATTTTGCAATAGATATTGTCGCTGGATTAATTTTTTAAAAAGCAGTGCAATGTAAATTATATATCATACATGGTAACTACAAATAAAAAAAATATTGAATATTTTAGAGATATGACAGAGTTGAAGAATAATAGCAATATTTAAACAACTCAAGAACGTTTTCTCCCCTTTCCACTGGATTAAAATAATATTATGTTTTTGTTATGTCCCTATCAGGCTTTCCTTGGACTCGCCGGTTGTCATACTCGGGGACAAGTCCGGGTCAATGGATGTAGCCATCCGCACCAGTTCTATCATCGCCGGTATCCTCGCCGTCATTACATCTGCTAAATTAGTCTTCTTCGATGACGAAAGTCATGCCGCTCCATACGTTCCTAGCACAGTTCAAGAAGTTAGCAATCTAGCTATGGAGGTAAAGGCTGGGGGAGGCACGTGCCCGGCAGCGGCATTACTTCCGTTTTTTCAGAGGAAGGAAGTGGTGAAGACTTTTGTGATTGTCACAGACGAGGAAGAAGTTGAAAAGGAACAAACTACCAATATGCAGTAAGCTTAGAAATTTAATTATCATTTATTTAAGGAAATGTTCTTATCTCCAATAGAACCCACTAGCTCTAATTATTCCTTTACATCATATCTAACTTTTGACTACGTTATGGAAGTAATAAGTATTTTCTTTCTTGGCCGATGAATTTGATATTTCTTGTTTTATAGTTTTGCGGAGATGTTTAAAAAGTATCACGATGAAGTTTATCCCGCTAGACTTCTCTTCGTGTCATTTCTGCCTAAGAACAGTGGAAGTGAAATGGTCGGACCTCTTCAAAATCTGGGCTTCTCTCCTATACAGTTTAAATTTGACGGATATAGACCAGACTTAACAAAGTTGGACAATCTATTTGCGCTGCAATCAACACACAGTGCTAGTTTTAAGGATGATGTTGATAAGCTCGACAAAAGAATAGAATCTAAAGGGATAGCTGCTCTATTTCAGGATGATGAATTAGAGCTATGTCAAGCGTAGTATAGGATTTCATTACATAGAATGTGATCAATGGCAAGAAAATTGACAAAAAATGTTGATGGAACAAGTCTTTCATCTTGAATAGCCAGAGAATTTCAAGTTGTTGAAAATATCAGGTCCGTAGCAACCTCCCAAAAAATCTGACAAGCAAAATAATATTTAAAAATAAAATTTAAAAAAAAAACTGCTAAAGTGTCCAACTGTCCAAACTCCAAAATGTTATTTCATGGTGGTGTTGTTGGGGGGGGGGGGGGCATGTTGGACCTTTCTTTTACTTTTTGGTGTTTTTTTCTTCAAATCCTTGAATTTGACAACAGTGCTCGACCTTACAGCAACAAAAAATGGGGGTCGGAACAACAAGCATCTAAATGAACATTTACTACAACAAAATACTTCACTTAGAAAAAGGGGCGCCCCCCTCCCCCGCGTTCTACGGGCCTGAATATTATTGTAAAGAGATTAAATCGGTCAATGAAGACAACAAAGTCGCACGGCAACTGATTGAATTTTATATTCAGTTGATATAGGAGTCAGAAAAAATTAAGGTTATTCTAATACAGTTACTTTGTGTGGGTTTATCGAAGTATAATGTTGGCTGTTCTTTGAGGCTCGGTATAACTGTATTACTGTCACATTACTGTACTGGGCGTAATTCACTCATCTTTTAAAATAGGGAACATCGTTTTGTACTAAGCTCTCCGTTCCTTGCTAGGGCTGTGTCAATATACGTATCGAATATTCAGGAATGTATCGTATCGAAAATTAACTTTCAATACGTATCGGGCAGACAGTTTTTCTTATAATTCAGTGAAAAAGTTGGGAATTTCAGTCATCAAAGGTTATTTTTAACTGTTTTGAATTAAAAATGATCAATAATGAAATAAACATTAAGGAGATAGCACATCTTAAATAACTATTTACAAAATACATAGACAACTATATTTTAACATGTTAGTTTTACAATCACTAAAAGTTTGAATTTGAAGTGTACTTTGTAAAGACAGTGAAACATGAACTTCCAATTTGGTAATAAAACACCCAGTTTTTATCAAATCTATGGATTAAATGGTATACAAGACTTTTTTGACAGACTTGTTAAAGAATCCAATATATCGCATATCGCTTTATAAAATATCGTATCTTATCGAAATATTTTGCTCAATACACAGCCATATTCCTTGCCATATGTAAGAAAAAGGATCCACTAGTCAGAACAAGAGTTTATGAAATAATCATTTTGATGTTTTTATAACGTTTTTATAATGTTTTTAAATGCTTTAGTCAACAAAGTCTTGGTCAGGCGCGTAGCTGCCTATACGCAAATACGCAAGTGCGTACACATCATTTTCAGAAAAGAAAAAAAAGATAAGAAAAAAGAGAGAATTATTCGGAGAAAAAAAATCTCAATACCATCCAAAAAATATTCGTGTTTCAAATTATTCTGTGTCATACTGTGTCGATTTAAATTTTAAATTATCGTGGCTGTATGATAAAATCTGAAATCCTTTATTTAATCATTCATTATTTTGTCATTGTTCTACCATACATTGATATTTTTTTTTAAAGATCTTTGAAAAAATAAATTTCAGCCGCATCGTTGAATGCTATGATCTACTAGTATGATTTAAAATACGATATTTTTTGTTCATAATTAAAATTTTGTATGTTTTTAAACGTTAAGAATGATTATATACCAGTTAATCGGTTAAATTTTAGCCTCAATTATATGTACAATGAGTTTCCATGGAATATTAATTTTCGTTAAAACAATGAATATAACTATGTCTTTTATTTCCTAAACAAAAACTAAATGGCATAATTTTTATATTTCAAGAAAATGAATGAAATATTTGGTAAAACTCCGGAGCTTCTGGGCCCTCACCAGCAGGCACGTAGTATCAGGGGAGCCTCCCCACTATTTATTCCCAAAACGTAACCTTTTACTATTGAAGAAATGTACATTGAAAGGGTGGACCCCCACTGTTTGTTGCACCATTGTTAAATCATGGTAATTTGGTAATGTATTAATAAAAATTTGGTTTGTGAAAGATGATCGACACCCCTCCCCCCTTCAACAAACACACACACACAAGAAATGGGACTTCGAATTTTGACAATCTTCCTTTTTCGTCCTTGCTTGACAAAATTTTTAAAGTTGTAATTTTTTCCTGGCTGGCAAAAGCTACATAACGTGCCTGACCAGAGCCCTTAAACACTGGGGGGGGGGGGGGTGTTTCAAGACTCACGCACCCCACCCAACCCCTGCCGTTCTCTGCGTACACATCATTTCTATTCTGGCTACGCGCCTGTTGGTATTGTGAGATATTGTCTTTGCTGCTTGGCAAGGTACCGTAACATTGGTTACAATCAAATCTCTTACATCGGCGCGAGGGGCGTTTAGATAAACCGTCTGCATTTCCATGCAGAGAACCTTTCCTATGTTTAATCTCGAAATCGTACGTCTCTAGAAAGGAAAGCCATCGGGCCAACACCCCTTCCGGTTCTTTAAAATTCTTCAGCCAAAGGAGAGACGAATGGTCGGTACGAAGGAGAAAATGTGTTTAATGAAAAAGTTCGCGATACGTAGTGCAGTATTTGCTTTGAGATTTGGACAGTCTTTTACTTCCGTACGCTATAACCTTTTCTTGACCGTTTTGTATCTGCGATAAGACTGCACCAACGCCAAATACGCTAGCATCGGTATCAAGAATAAACGTTTCCTTGATGTCAGGATATGATAGTATCGGGGTATCTGTCAGTAACTTTTTAAGAGTAGTGAAAGCATTTTCACTTTCTGCGGTCCATTCAAATGGTTTATTTTTCTGTGTTAGTCTTGTTAAAGGGTAAGCGATAGATGAGAAATTGTATATGAATTTACGATAATACGACGCAAGTCCCAGAAAACTTCTGACATCCGAAATGTTTTCGGATACCGGCCATTCCTTAATCGCGATAATTTTCGTCGGATCACACTGAATGCCGTTAGCTGAGACTACGTGACCGAGAAATGATACTTCGTCTTTGAAAAGAACGCATTTCTTAGGTTTCAGTTTTAACTTTGCGCTCCTAAATCGGTCGAAAACTGATCTTAAATTCTCTAAAGTTTCTTGAAAAGTTTTTCCAAAAACAATGACATCGTCTTAATAGACTAGACATTTCTCCCACTGGAGTCCGCAAAGTACAATCTCCATTAATCGTTCGAACGTTGCCGGACTATTTGACAGTCCGAAAGGCATTACCGTAAATTCATATAATCCCTTATGACTAGCAAAGGCTGTCTTTTGTCTATCATCGGGATGCATGACCACTTGCCAGTATCCGCTGGCTAAGTCGAGTGTGCAGAAATATTTGGCACCGGCTAGTGAATCAAAAGATTCATCCACTCTAGGCAGTGGATATGCGTCTTTCACAGTGACAGCATTTAAGCGCCGATAATCTACGCAAAACGCGTTGAGCCGTCCTTTTTCTTTACTAGAACAATGGGCGAAGCCCATGGAGAATTAATAGGTTCTATTACTCCTTTCTGTAACATATTTTCTATTTCGTGCTCAGCAACATCTCGCTGAGATATTGGAAGTCGTCTTGGGGGTAGCTTAATCGGTTTCGCGCCCCCTGTGTCAATTTTATGAGCAGTGAGGTCAGTTCGGCCTAAGTTTCCGTCAGATCCGACAAAAACGTCAAAATATTGTAAAACAAAATGTTTCAACTCGTTTTTCTCAAGAGATAAAAGTTTATTTGACACATTTTCTAGCAGCGATTGCAAATTATCTGGTACACTTGATTGTAAAGACATATCTTTATTTTCTACTCCTGAACCTTTGCAATCATCATTGTCTATGATATAATCTACAGCTTGTATACTAGCTATGCATTTATTTTTTTTCAAATGTATATCATTGTCAGTAGGATTAAGGACAGAAAACACCACAGATGATTTTGTGATGTTGACAATTGATTTAGGTATGAGGACATCATGTCCTGTCTGGTCCCTATCTGGCTCTAAGATGCACGTCACATCATCCGAAATATTACCTTTGACATTGCCAGTAATAAACATCTCAGACCTAGGTGGTATTCGAACATTTTCAGAAATCTGAACTCTTGCACACGTATGATTTAAACTATTTTCCCAGCATAACTGAATTTGAAAGTGAGAGGACATCAAAATTCCTCTACAAGTATCCACTACAATTTCGTTGTCAGACAAAAAATCTAATCCCAATATACCATGAAGATCACCCAATTCTGCAATTATAATTGCAATGGGTAATTAAAATTTACTCCATTCATTCGGAGCGGGAAATTCGATTTCCCACAAACACGCAGGGGTTCACCGTCAGCTGTGGTTAACTTGTCTGCGACTTTTGTTAAGATCGGTCTGAAACTCAAAGTCTCATATATCTCCTTTGATAACAGAGACACCGATGAGCCGGTATCAATGAGCATGTTTGCGCTCAAACCACCAATCTCAACAACAGAAAACCAACAACTCTTAGAGATTGCCGACAACCTTACAGAGGGCCTTGTCAAATTTTCAGTAGTTAAATCGTTGTGGGCTGGGCTTTTGGTCCCGAGCTCAGCCCCATTTAGTTTAAATCACCAGATTTTGAGACAGAATCCGAAAATGTAACCTTTCTAGGACTTGATGCAAGTATGGGTGTTTGTGACTTTGGGCAAAATTTACTAATGTGGCCTGTTTGGTTACAGTTATAGCATTTGACAATTTTCTTTCGAGTTTCATCTTGCGTACGGCGAGAAATTATTCTGCCATTTTGGTTGTCTCTTTCTGTTATTTTTGAATAGATTTTTGCATCAGAGCAAGCGATTTTTCTAATTCTGAAGGTCTTTTATTTTCAAGATTATTAGACTCGTTTGTTGCTTTCAGCGCTCGGACAGACTGAATTTCAGTATGTTTTGGTGCAAGAGATATAGCCCTGTCTAACGTAGTAGGGTGTGCAAATTGCACATGTCTTCTTATTTCTTGACTACCTAGTCCGTTAATGTACTGTTCAAGAACAATACTCTCACGAAGTGAAACTGGTATTGTCGGAAATGCGCGAGTAGCTAGTCTTTTTAAAGAGTAGCCATAGTCAGCTGCTGTCTCTCCTGAAAGTCGTTTCCGTTCCGGAACTCGCAGCGGAAAGCAGTCTCGCGCTCTAAGGGATTGAATCTTTGCGTTAGAACTGATTTTAGAGATTCATAGTTTGTTAACTGATCACGAGACAGATCACCGAGAATTCGCTGAGCAGCACTTCGTAAACTCATTGCGAGTTGTGCTGCTTTTTCGCTTCCTGACCATTTGTTCCAGAGTGACACCTGTTCAAACTGGCAAATATAATCTGCCCATTCCACGTTTTCTCCGGTAAAAAGATCAGGTTCTTTTTCTTTTCTTTGTCTACGTCTTTGATCTAGAAAGTAATTATTTTCATTCAATTGATCAGGGCCTTCGAACTTTTGCGCACCTGTTGGAAACATTTGTTTGCTAAAACTATCATTTATCAAACGACATTCAGAATTCTGAAAATTTTTTACATTGTTGGGCATGTTTTTCATTTGTTCAAAAGAATGTTGAACAGGAGGTCTTTGATCATTCCGATCAAAATAATTCCGGTAAGGTGTTCGAACCTCCGAGTCTAATGGATAGACCGACTGCGCGCCGTATTTATTTTCAGCGAAATAATCATTTTCTACTCTCGACCCTGAACTGTAGTGAACATTTGGGGAGGGGTAATTTAATGAATTTTGATCCCCATCTGACCATCTCGGATACGGAGAAGTGACATTATCTTGTCCGCATCTTGAGAAAAAGTAATTTTCTCTTTCACTTTCAATTTTATTTTCTGGCTCAAAATATTGCATTTTGTTTGTAACCTCCCGATAAGGAGTTTTATTTGTTTCAAAATTCGACACCACATTTCGATTTTGAATATTTGTCATAGGTGTACTATGTGCAAAATAATTTCCCCTGGTTCGACCAGAGTAATATGGGTCGTTTTTATCTCCCCTTTCTGTACCCCAGTACCCGTTTTGTGTCACGTGATCGCCTCGATTGAAAACATGCTGTGAAGCTGAGCTACTTTGTGACAGTTTTTCATATGGATTGGACATGTTATCACTCAGATACGAGTCAAAATTGTTCTGAACATTTCGTTCAAACCCTACATTGTGACCGTTTTCCAGACTTGTTTGAAAAACCCCATGGTTTTCTTGTCGGTGTGGTACACTAGCGTTAGGCCTAACATTACAAGAAGCATGAACTTCTTTATTTTCCACGAAATATGTAACAGGTATGTCATTGTTAACAATTGGTCTTTGAATACATGTAGGTCTATCTGATCTTATGTCCGCATCCCAGAAATTGTGCTGATTTTGAATTTCCTGAGTTTTGTTGGAAATATTTTTATTTCCGTGAGATCCGCTCCTTTCTTCACTAGTACTAGCCCTTGCTTCCGGTTCATGAAAGCTAAACCATTGCCTAAATTTGTTGGACAGATTACTGAAAAGTGTTGACGCCATTTAAACCATAAAAATACAATGTAGAAAAAAAATGTTTTTCTTTAGATACCACCTAAAATTCTGAACATAAATTGTTGATACGTTTGGTTCTTTCTTTTTTTTTTTTTTTACAATAGACCGAAAAATGTTCTCAACTGTAAATCACCGGACGAGCCCCCAAAAATGTAACGGGAAACCTGTCCGTTTCCATGTATAAATCCAGATTCAGTGATTTACAGAGAGAAAAACATTTATAACGGTTAACAAAGGTTTATTAAATGAAATAAATAAATAAGTGACAATTAACAATATTACAAGTCTAGGGGATGGTGGATACCTACTCGCAGCTTGTCTCAGGCAAGCACTGATCTAATCTGGCCGTTGCGAACGTCACGGTGGTCAGGCCGTTAACAGACGTCCAGACGTTGTCCCGAACGGCCTGACACACGCGCAAAGTCGGCAACGAACCCGACATTAAATGTAGTATAATAATATAATAATAATAGTATAATGTTACACAACACAATATTACAATAATTATTCATATTAATACGTGACTAGATACATGGTAATAAATAACAAAGATTTAATAACATATATAGACACTATAAATCATCCACCATTACAAATGAATAAGACATTGAAGGCTGCATGATGATACCACTTTCATTTACAAACTTCTGTCGTGGAAAACTAAAAAAAATGTCCAGATTACATGTGCTTCCGTGTTTTCCTTTTGCTGTTTGTAAGAAATCGAAATGTTTAGAAAATAATCCTGCGATAGGTTTGGTTAATGTTTTTCCTGCTCAGATACACAGCTGGCTCCGGCCGTTGCAACCGTTGTTTACAACGTTGTTTGAGGTGTTGATTGTGACGTCACAATGCCGCTGCACGCGCACCGACCCTCCGGTGAATACGGCTTAAAATCCGGTGAATATGTAGTGTTATGAACTGTTTGCGTTTGTATAGATTATATAGGGACTATAAATAGACTATATAATAATTACTTATATTAATAGTTTACCTAAAACATTTATGCTCAGTTCCTTTAAACTGTTAAAATTGAGATATTTCTATCTCTTAACATATAATCTTTAATTGTTACAGAAATTTCAGATGCAGACTAACCAGACTTTTTACAATCAATAAATTATTTTTTTTTTCACAAAAAATATTTTGAAGAACGCTAACTCCTGTAGATGGAAAGAAACTCTTGTAGAGGGATGCTTTTTTATTTTACAAGTACAGAAAACAATGTGATATTCTGATTTAAAAAGCAACGCTTCATTATGTTTTCTAATGTGAATTAGATAGGTATGATAGTAAATATTAATTTCATATATACCTCATATTTTAAATTTTATGTTGAGATAAATTATTGATCTTTCTGTTCACCATATCAAATTTTCTGCATATCATGATTAGACATAATATTCATTTCTGAAAAAGTAAGCGACGTTTCATACTTCAAACTATTTTCCATTTGAATCTAATGCTATTGTTGTCGATGAAAAGCAATGTTGGGATTTTTTTTTTTTAAATGGTGAAATTTAGAGCAGAGGGATATTTCACCTTCAATTATTTTTCTCAATTATTATTAAGGAGCTATTTTGCGAGTAAAAATTAATAACTTAAAAAAATGTAAATATAACAGTATAAAGAATCACTGTCTAGTTTGTTGGGTATGCCAGAGATATTAACGACAGTTAATTATTATTCGCCTGTCATGCAATTGTCAAATTTTTCGACGTTTTCAATTGTCGTTAATGCCCTCGCATTCCCAATAAGGTAGACAGTGATTTCTTAATTCAACACGAGGAAAGCCTATATATATAAGGTCTCCTCCAACTGAGATACATAATTAAAAAAACATGATTATATAAGGAAAATCATGATTTAACTTTACAAAATATTATTTCTATAAATATTAACCAATTGAAAATTACGCAATCCACCTTCGAGTTAATATTCATTTCCTTATAAAGACTTGATATTTTATGACCTTTCAAGCACTCTTCATTCTATACAAGGAAGAACTTTACAAGAGTCTAATATTCCCTAGACTCTACGAGATAAACCTTTAAATACATTGTCAAAACATTGTTAAATATAGCCTATATATAATATTTCAAAAAAAAAAAAAAAACCATCAAGGTTACCTTTAATTAATGTAAATCCAAATAACATTCCACATTCGAATTAAAATTTGTTTTGATTCTAAGCAGCTGCACAAGTCAGCCCTTAATCGTGTTTACTTCCCTCTTGGAGTCTCCATGTCCACATCTTATTCTTAACTTTTTTATGATTTCATTTTTCTTTCACTTCAATTCCATATATGTAACACATTAACTTTAATTTTATTCCACAGACTAATTTAATATATATTTTCAGTTAGACAATGGTTACAATATCTTTATTCAACATTATTTTTGCAGGTCGATAAGGAATTATTTAAAAGTTAACTACAAGTACGTAATACATGATACACTTGTTGATATTTTTTAAAATATTTAGTTTTAGAAATTGAATAGCCATTTTACTCCTTTCCATGCAACCTTTCCAACAGACACTATAGCGCCCATCAAAACCTCATTCACGAGTCCAGAACCACTTTCTACTTCCTTTCTAACCTCCTGACGAGGATTTTCCAACTGACTGAACTTCTGCTCATGCTCCTGTAGCTTTTCTTGGATAGATCGGTCCCTTTCCTCCTCCATTTCCTTGGAGTGTTTTTTCATATGTTTTAGTTCTTTACGGAGGTCATTTATCTCCTCCTCCATTGCATTATCTGTCATAGACCCCATGCTTACCCTCTCGTCTTCAAGTTGTTTGAGTTTGGTCAAAAGGTTGGAACTTGGTTTCCCATACTGGCGTCTCTCGTAATCAATCTGCTCCTTTAGCTCACTTATTTCTCGCTGAAGTATAGGTGTTCGGCTAGATTGGTAGTGTTTTCTGGACTCAAGCTCTGCGACGCGGTGCTCTAGAGCGCTTTGGTTCTGGATATGAGCTCCCATGTGACTTTTATATTTCTGCTCTAATTCTCTTTCAATATTCTTTCTCTCTCGCTCTTTCTCCCGTTCTCTCTCTTTCTCAATTTGATATTGTCGGTGTTTCATCACTTTCTCTGCCTCTGTGTACAACTCATCGCTGTAAAATTCTCCTTGATTCTGGCGCATGATTTCGTCTATCATTTCTAGAAGATCTTCTACTTGGTCATGCAGTTCGGGGCTTGTGGCTCGGTTGTTGAAGGCAATACAGCGATTGTCACACTTTCGAATGATTGATTTCAGACTTGGCGGAACACTTTTGATGTGATCGTCCAATGTCAAGCCGTGGTGATCTAGGTCATCTTTTCTGGTAAAGAGTATGATGAAATATCGAAATACTTTCTTTCCAAAGTATGTAACAAAGTGACCAATGCTCTCCTCTTCCTCCTGTGTAAAGCGGGAAAGTCCGAGGACAAGCAGAAAACAGTGCGGACCAGGAGCAGTGATTCCGATACATTTTGCAATTTCTCTCTGAACAACATCATTTGGGGCATTGGTATCAAATATTCCTGGTGTATCAACAACTTGAATATCCTTGCCAAACCGTTGGGTATGTTTGCTAGTACAAAGTGACGTTACAGAAGAGCCAGAAGTCGAAGAATCAAAGAAATCACCGTTTAAAATAGTGTTTCCGGTGGCGCTTTTTCCTGTTCCGGTCTTTCCGAGAAGAACAATTCGTACTTCATTATCTACACCTTTTCCGTATTTGGAGCGCCCTCTTCCTCTCTTTGGATGTTTGTGGCCTCCACCATATCCTTTGAATAGTTAATATAACTGCATTTCGTGTTCAGACTTATTTGTAAAGTATTCACGAGAAACACAGTTGTATACATGTACTAGCATTCTCATCGTCGGAACCCACGGGTTTTCTCGTTGAATGTAGTGTAACGGAGAGAAAACCCGTGGGTTCCGACGATGTAGCATTCTGAAAATGATCTGAGTGGACGGCACAGAGTTCTTTATTAGTTTCCATGGAAAATTGTAATCTATGATTTTGGCTATGAATTAGAATCTTTACGAACATTTCATCTACTTCGTTGTTTATACATTTTAGTTCTTAGGGTCATGCGCAACGTACCTTTTAAAGTACCTTGCCCATTGATGATTTTTCAAGATACATGTATTTTTAATTTAAACTGGTAGTACCATCAGATGTTCTTAGACAAAAACAAATATCAGTATATAAAAATATTGGTTTTAAATAGATATCCAACGATGAAAATCCTTGAGTTATTCAAAGAGAAATATACCTAAATGAATATAGTTTTAGTTGATATTTCCTAAAACTTTCAGCGTCATTTGCCATTATCAAAGTAATACAAATGTCCTTCAATTATATAGAGAGTATAAGAAAATAAACTACGTTGCGATATGTGTTTAAAAAGGAAACATTACCCCCCCTTTTTTTTTTTGCCGAATGTAATCTATATTGATAATGTAAAATCTTATAAGATGAAAAAAAAACGAATGTGCTTAGAACTTTAATCATGAAAACATAGACCATGCATATGTCTGCATCAAAGTATTAGTGGATGACCTTACATTCATTAAATTATAAATGAAATTACTTTATCATTAATCAACAGCCATGGTAACCACTAACAAAATATTGATTGATTGAATAAATTCGAGAAAGTTTCAGTCATATAGAGACATCATCATAAATCGGCGAAAGGCTTCAAATTTAGACCTATACTCGGCATTCAGGGCCATTGAGCAATGAGGGACTTGAATCTGATCATCCAAATAATACAGGTCACACGCAGCATCCAAAGTATGACCAAATTGTAAGCTTCCAAATATGGTCATATATCTATCGTGCAAGGTTGGTTAAAAACTGATTGGGTTAGGTTTCTGCACCGAAATGTCTAAACTAGTTTATCATCCAGGAAACGTAGATCAAATGTAGCATCCGACGCTTGAATGATAGCAGGTATTGCTAGATGCATCGTCCTTGTAATTTTGGTCGAATTATGCAAGTACATGTATACAGCATTTTTCTTGGAAAATAAATGTGTTCTAAAAACTTTAACCTAGGATGCTTAAAGAGTATAGCAAATTCAGATAGTTCATCCTATAAAAACCAATTTATTGATAAAATTAAACTAATCTTATGAGAAAGATATCTTCTTCCAAATTCCCTGCCAAATCGTTAAATCAATTCACTGATAATTTACTACAACATAAATAGAACATCGTGCATAAATTTTTATACAGACTAAACTGTCAAGTACTATCTTATGTCGAATATATATATATATATATATATATATATATATATATATATATATATATATATATATATATATATATATATATATATATATATATATATATATATATATATATATAACACAAATTTAAAAAAAAGTCTGACACTGACTTTTAGAACCAACCGTCAAAAAGGTATATTAAACAATAAATCTATGAAAATCCTACCTCCGTTGAAATCACTACTGGCACACATGATTAGAGAATCATTAATTTATACAATGAAGTCGGAGGAATTTTGATTTATTGAGTTGCAAATTTTAAATAAAACATTCTCTAACTAGTATGTTTTATAATACTGGAAATAATTATTTCATGAATGTTGTTTCCTTGTGTCAATTAATTTTTCTGGTAATTTCCTTGTCTTTTCTGGCAATACAAGACACAACTGGACAATTGGACTCCGTCCAAATATTAAGCATCTTAGTTTATATCATGTTCCGTACACGTCAAATGCTATAAATATTCTATTTTCTGCATAAAACTGGTTAGATTTAGAAAATCGTGAATTCCTAGCTTAAAGTCTTTTCTAGATCATGAGTGGTTAATATTGCAATATGAAGAATTGCTACAGCATTGCCAAAGATGCATATAAATATTCTCCCCGAAAATTAACAAATACATTGTACATTGATGTAGTCAGTTTAAGTTTCATTTAAAGCTATATTTGGCGTATCTGAGCTAAAAAATAAAAATACGAGATTGAGTGTAGATAAACACGATATATGTTATTTACGTTCAAATCAAAATTTTCCCCGATTTTGAACTTGAACCTCACAATTCCATCGTTAAATTGATTTTAAACTGGGTCTGTTAACTAAATGCGAAGTCGGTAAATAAATATATGTAGGTAATTGTTTTGAATGTCTAATACCTTTAAACGAGATTGATTTAAATTGTGTAATTTACAGGAAAGTCCTATCTTTATATAAAGTAATAAAACAAATAGAAAGATCTTTCTAATTTTAATCAGTCTGAACTTATAAAAAAATAAGTCATATATGACCGTAAGCATCGAATTCTTATGTTTGGATGTTGTCGATCGTAAATTAAATATTTCCGGCACGGACAGGTGCTGTTATACGACCAATGACACCCAAAAATAAAGATTCAATGCTTATATTTACATTCTCTAATTTTCTCTCTTCATAAATGATTATTTCCTTTTATCTTGTAATAAATTTTTCAGAGCAGGTGTGGTAAGAGCCTTTTTGGCGTAAAAATGAATATTTAATATAAAATGAATTTTATACTCTTACAACAATTCAATAGGTAAACTGTTTTTTTTTTTTTCAATTAAATTGCCTTTGAGCCAAAACTACATTTATATACATTCTTATGTTCCTAGTGTATTAAAAGTATTTTAGTTCCTATTGTGTATTCTTCCGCCTTTTAAAAAGATTTCATATGTGTTATAGGGGATGAATGTTGTAGATTTCAAATGGATTAAAAAAAGTATATATATAAAAAAATCTACGTAATTCTGTAAACAATCATTTGGTAATTTGATTTGAAACTCTATTGGATAAGTTTTTTTTTTTTTTTTTTTTTTTTTTTTTTTTTTTTTTTGGATATTATTACGACTGTTTATCCGTCAGAATTCGTGTCAATGCTAAAACTAGTGAAATTTTAATTTTGTTTTCAATAAAAAGAGATTTAAGACACTTCTTTTCCCAGGGACACAATTGCTGGGACATGACACTTTGAAATCGTTTAAAAATTATGTCTTTGCTACAAAAAATGATATGGAATGTTAAAGATATAAACGCTATAACTTGCGTCAGTTAAAAATAAAGTCTGAAATTTATATATTTTGCTTACCAAATAAAGCTACAAAAATACTGTAAATTACACAACTGAAAATTAACGTGTTATAAAGGTCTCAAATTATAATTATTTATTTTCCTGCCAGGAAAGTAATGCCTCTCTTTAAATTAATGCATCATGTGACACCGTCGCTACTTTTAGATTGATAAACAGAAAACGAGTTAGGCCGTTTAGTATACAAATAACGTTTGATATAGATTACACACGTCTAATGCTTAAAGATACTTATATTTTAAAACATCCAGTATTAACCATCTACTCTGTAATGGCAGATATTAACCTCTTATTCATAATTGTAGTCAAAATGCAACGTACTTCCTCATCCTTGATTTCTTGCGGACATGCGTATCTATATTCTGTTTACGCACTTCCTTCATCAATATTCTTGAAAAGACTCCTTTCTTAATTCCTGATTTTGCTTAATTGTTCAGTAATTACAACGACTTATTTAGTAAAACTTTATGGAAAGTATTATTTTTATTACATATCATGTTTCTCAAATCATTTAATCATTTTGTTTCCTTAAAAAGTCGCGTTTATATAGCGTGTATGTCTTTAAGTTCATGCAAAGTGGTGTCCGTTTACAGCAAAGAAATCTTGAATGGGACAGGATTAAATTAAAGTATATATTTTGGCAAACATTGCACATGCTTAAACGCAAAACCTTCCTTAAAAGATATACTACCTAGCAAGATATTATGATAATGATAATTTGGAATACAAATGAATTATATAAGCAGGTCAGGTGTCAAGGTCAATAAATCAATCTATTTCAAAATTTCTCTTTTTTCAAGTTTTAATAGGTACAAATAAAGTTTGTGACAAATGGAGCAGATAACACAAATCAATGCAAGTAATTGTATAATTTATTTAGTTTCATTGTATATTTCAAACAATAGAAAACAAGACTGTCAGCATCCAGAACTAACCAGGTGGAATTTCGTGGTTAATATGGCTTCTACGTGACCTTCCTCTACCGCGACCTCGTCCACCACGCCTGTGAGATTGCTACGATGAACATTTTAAACATCTTGAAATCAGAACATTTTACAGTTAATCTACAAGTTTAAAATGTACAATTCGAATGTAAAGTAACAATTGAATAAAACACTTTTCGCTCTTAAAAAAAATATGTAGTCCCATGCGATTTCTCAAAACCAAATCCCCCTCCCAAAAACAAACAAACAAAACAGGAAAGATTTTGAGTGCAACTGTCAAAGTAAAGTGCACAAATATTAAATCATCATCTGTATTCCTTTCCATATTAGCTTTCCTATGGTCATTATACCACCAAGAAGAGCCTCTCCCACATTTCCGGAACCAGTTTCTACTTCCTGCCTTACCTCGTGACGTGCATTCTCCATCTCTCTAAACCTCCGGTCATGCTCTTCCAGCTTTTCTTGGTACATTCTGTCTTTCTCCTTTGCCATCTTTTTGGAGTGCTTGTGCATGCGCTTGAGCTCTACTCTGAGATCTTCTATTTCCCTCTCCATTTCCTTCTCTTTTCCAGATCCCAATCTAGTACGCTCGTCTTCTAAATTCCTGAGTTTCTTTAAAAGATGGGAGCTAGGAGAACCATGTTGCCTTCTTTCGTATTCTATCTCGTCCTCGAGTTCATGGATCTCCCTGTTCAAATCTGATGACCGACTCATATAGTAGTCTCGTTTAGATTCCAGCTCTGCAACTCGGTTTTCTAGAGCATTTTGGTTTCTAGAGTGACCGCTTATCTGATGTTTGTATTTCTGCTCTATTTCACGTTCGATTTCTTTTCTTTCTCGCTCACGCTGTCGTTCCCTTTTCTTCTCTATTTGGTATTGTCTTTGTTTCATAACCTTTTCAGCCTCAGAGTACATGTCGTTTGTGTAACAATCTCCATGATTCTGCCGAACAATGTCGTCTATCATCTCTAGAAGATCCTCTACTTGATCTTGTCGTTCGGGCCCTGTAGCTCGGTTGTTAAAGGCAATACAGCGATTGTCACACTTCCGAATGATTGATTTCAGACTTTGAGGAACAGTTCGAATGTGATCGTCCAATGTCAAGCCGTGGTGATCCAGATCATCTTTTCTGGTGAAGAGAATGATGAAATGTCGAAAAACTTTATTTCCAAAGTAATTGACAAAGTGATCAACGCTTTCCTCTTCTTCCTGTGTAAACCGGGAAAGTCCGAGGACAAGAAGAAAGCAGTGTGGACCTGGGGCTGTGATTCCAATACATTTGACAATTTCTCTCTGAACTCTATCATTTGGGATATTGGTATCAAATATCCCTGGTGTATCTACTACTTGAATATCCCTGCCAAACCTTTCGGCATGTCTGCTGGTGCAACGCGATGTCACAGAAGAGCCAGACGTTGTGGAATCAAAGAAATCACCATTTAAGATTGTATTTCCGGTGGCGCTTTTTCCAGTTCCGGTTTTTCCTAAAAGGACGATGCGCACCTCATCATCAGTCACTTTTCCGTATTTCGATCGCCCCCCTCCTCGACCTCTTGCGCTGTGACCCCCGCCACCAGAACCTGAAAAATATCAATGAAAATAAAAAATAACTGATTGACATTAGTTGATATACTCTACTTTCAAAAAACAAATATATACAGTCGCCCGCGTGGCGCAGTGGTTAGACTGTTTGATTGATTGTATGTTATACGGGGTTTATGTCTCTCAGTTGATTCGATACGCAAGAGCATGTTCTACGTATGTACAATTTCTAAAACGAGGTAAATTATTGACAAACAAGTTGATGAAAGAATATCAGCAGTCTGTTTAAAGTCATCATTTCGTAAGTTCTTTGGTCGATACAATGACCTTGTCAGCAAATACAATTTATCATTGAGTCAAATGCTGACTGACGTTTTTCATACTAATTGTTAGGCCATTATATACACACTGAATTGTCGACGGATTTTTCCGTTATTTCCCGATCTTGACAAGGAGCAGAAGGCGGGTGTGACCGGTCGGCAGGAGATGCTCACTCCTTCATGGCACCGGATCTCACCTCTGATGTTTTGGAGGTCGGTGTTTGCTCTGCTCCTATTTTGTAATATTTAATGGACTTTTGAGCTTGTTTGTAATCTCCATATATTTCATGTCGTTTTACATCCCATTCGAGAATTTTCACTAATATAGAGATCTTACCATATACCGTGAAGGGCTTCAAATTTAGACCTTTACTCGGCACTCAGGGTCATTGAGCAGTGAGATTTATTTTATCGTGCCAACGTCTACTGTGACACGAGACCTCGGTTTTTAAGGACTCATCCGAAAGAGTCGCAACTTTCACTTCAAATCCCTTGGCGAAGAGTTGCTACCTAATTTTTTATCGACTTAAGTCAGCCGCGGCCGTGATTCGAACACACGACCTTCCGATCACGGAACGAGCTCTTGCAGTGGCTAGAGCGTTTGCTCTGAGGTCGCAAAGTAAGGAGTTGATCCTTACGACGTGGGTTCGAATCCCACTGCGGACTATGGAGACCTTTCTTTCGGATGATGAGACCGTATGAACCGAGGTCTCGTGTCGCAGTAGGTGCTGGCAGTAAAAAGATCATCCCGCACTGCTCAAAGGCCCTAAATGCCGAGTACAGATCTAAATTTGCAGCCCTCTACAGACAAGTGGTGGCGTCTCAATATGAGTAAAAATTTCTCTGAGGGAAGTTAAACAACAAACGAACAAACAAATACATACGTTTTACTTGTAATCAAGATGTGTACTATGTACATATAGTTTTGCTTTTCAATCCGATGTTAGCATTTTTCAAAAGTAAATATCATCCGCGTCCTCTCTTTCAATAAGTTTGATGATTATGCTTCTGTCAGTTGTAGATTTATTTTGTTATGCTAACATGAAGAGAAGTAAAGTCTATCATTTTTAATTTTTGAAAATTCTTACCTTTGTGTGATCCACATGCTGAACATTTTGACTTATATCCTTCGTTGCTAAAGGTGCATTGGGGACATGCCCACATGTCTGTAAACAAACGATAGTTATGATTAAATCACGAGAGAAATGGTACCTATTAGGTATTGATCTCCCTATAAGTCTTGATATTGCTTGTAATATACCGGTAGCTATCTGTAAAAAATCAATTCCAGTTTTTAGTGAAATAAGGATGTTGAATAATATTCAAATAAGGTTATTTAAAAACATAATTATATGTACATAATATCTGTTGAATCAAAGAAGATAAGAGGGGTAAGAAATAAAGAATAAAGTTTTCAAAAAATGAATGAATAAATATATAGATAAATTTTAAAAATCAAAAATTAAAGATATCAAATCATCAATTTTTGGTTAATACCAAACAAAACTTCCTTATCTAAAAAATGTTTACTGTAGTCAACAATAGTTACATGCAACTACAGTTTACTGTAGTTAATTATAGTGTACTTTAGTGAATACTTAATCCTTTGATTTACTATGACACTGAACTCTAGAAAATCTTCTGAGATGTAGAACCTTGTTATCTCTTAAATTTCATACTATGGGGACAATCTTAAAAATAATTTCTTAATACATTTTGTATAGATGTAATATTTCATTTTAATATAAACAAGGGCACCGCAAAGCGGAGCATCAGCACATCGACCCCGAAATAAATTATAGTTTTCGAGACTGCCGTTACGCACACACACACACACACACACACACACACACACACACACAAGCACATTACTGTATCCCCTCCAACTTCGTTACGAGGGGATAAAAATTGGCATGTAATAATCGGAGAAAATAATATATAACAATTTGAAATTCAAAGTTATAATACTTAGATTCGTAATCGTTAGATAAGTAAAACTTTGATTTTCTATTCTAATAGTACGAACTTTGATACTGTAGTGAACTATAATTAACAGTACAATATAGTTTACTATAGTTGTTTTTGTTAGGGATACCCTCATCAAATCAATGTTTAGATAACTTCCAAAGAAAGTCTGGAGTGAATTTTAAACGAAAGTACATTAGTAGTGTCAAAATTATACGATTTTGTCGTGTTTCTTGGAGATGTTTACTCAGAGTTTGAAACATTACGTCCTTAGTTATGCGCCGGTTTCGATGAAAAATTTCCTCGTGTTGTTTAGATAAATCCTCGTGTCATGTGTTGGTCTCAAAATAGATTTTTGTCCACTTTTGGTACTTGCTTTATACATGTAACTATTTCGCAGGTTGCTAATATATATGCATGTAATTTGATTGTCACAAATTTTTCTTAGTTGTTCAGATCTCAATTGTTTGCATAGTTTTTTCCAAATAAAACAATGATAGCTTTAATATTCTTTATAATCCAGTTTTCCAAACATTTGTTATAATACTTAGGAGGTCATTAGATTAAGCAATGCCTGCAGCCTGTAATTTGGCTTTGAAATCACTAAATTATCTGACAAATTTATCAATTATGTATAATTATATGTATTACCATTGTCACCTCTGGGACCATTCTTGCTCCCGCACTGCACACATTTCTTACGGCTATGTTCATTGGAGTGTGTACAGCCATTGCACAGCCAGTATTTTGAGGCTGAAATAATAATAAAACAACGCATAGATTCTTTCTGTAACAAGTTAAGCATGTCCCTGAAAACTGGGTTTATGGCATTTTAGGATTAAATGATCTTGTAAATTAAATATGTATCTTTAAAAAAAAATGTAAAAATTAAAAATGTACATATAACGGTATTATACCGATAACTAATTTACATAAGATTCTCTGATTTTTTAAAACTTTATTAGATTTCTCCTCATAGAAATAAAAAAAAACAACAAATACTAGAAAAGTTCTTTTTAAAGAAATTCGAAGAATTGCGATAATTTTTTTTTGGCAGACCTAAATAATCCTTGTTTTGGACATATTTTATTGACAATCAAAAGGATCAGTTCCATCAACTTTATAGTTGAGTAACTTACTAGTAGAATAATTGCCATGCAAAATGATTAAAAAATTTTATACATACAAAATTGTCAATAATATATATCTATCAAAACCTATAGGATTCGTTTATGAAATAATGAACAAATCGTGAAAGACGTAAAAATCCAAAAATGCCAGTGTTTAACTCTAATGAAAGTAATCTGTTAAATCCAGGCATATACTTTGAATGTGCAAAACAAAAAGGCACATTTCAAGTGTTCAAATTTTCGAAAACGAATTTATAGTTTACTAAGGATAAAAAAAATCTGAAATATGAATACATTTTTGTTACATCACATAAAGTGGGTTTATGTTCTGTTTTACATAAAAATACTTTTATCTAAAAAATGAACATACATGTATACACAATTGTCTAATATCTAATATTTTAAAAGAAAACGACTCCTTTTTATGTTTCCTGTTGGGTAGATTATTACAGTTTTTTTAAGATGTACCTCTCCTCATATTCATAGAGACAATTTTTCTGCCGGGTATACCAAGAATATGTTTTATGCCAGCCTGATGATATATGCAATGAAAATGATTAAATATAATTACTGTATACCTAGAGTCTTCCTACCTTGCAAGCAAAAATAAGGTATATCTATTTTAGAGGTAATGCTTAATTAAACCTGAAATTTCCGATGAAAAGTGAAGTACATCAAGAAATGGACTTAAAAACTTACCCATTCCAGTAACTTTTCAAGTTTATTCGCTACAAAACAATATTGGCTTTCCTCTTCAATGCTTTTCCGTATTCTAAACCTAGCTCTTGAGAATGGTATTTTTGTATTTCTCTGTTGTGTTCACTTCCTTCCTCGCTAAATAGGATAAACCAGCCAAACTGAGTTTATCTAATGTACAGGAAAAAATGGGGAAAATCCTTGACAAGTAAAAATCAACTCTTTATTTTATACTTGCAAATCATTAAAATTATTTTAATAAGTTCGTTTGCCTATAATCTTCCCAATTTCATTTAACAAAATATTAGTAATCATCAAATTCCGTTGCATGTGTTCTTTGGAGGGAAGAATTAGACAAAAATAAGTTTCCCTTTCCCAGAAAAGACAATGAATTTACTTTATCTTTACTTTTTAGGAAAATCAGCATTTACAATGACATTAATTTGAGTCTATTGTTTATAAATGGTTGAGTGTTAGAATACTTTTTGCCATTGTCGTTTTCAATGAAATTTGAGTTGTAGGAGTGGTGTAAAACTTTTTCTTCATTCGTCACCAGTAACGGTAGCCTAGTGGTAAAACTTTCTCTCTGATTGGGAGGCCCAGGTTCGATTCTCGTTCGCCGCGCAGTTGTTCATTACGTTATGAAATATTTAGGATGATTCTGATTGGCTGCTTTACCGTGCGTGTATGAATGCAAACATAAAACGCACAAGTCCATACCCTCGTTCCTCAACTTTTTAAAAAAATTTCCGGAGACTTTTCTCCTGTTTTGTATTGTTTCAATGGACTTTTAAGCTTGATTACTGTTCGTTATCTCCATATTTCACTCTTTCGTTTATCTCTTTCGGTTAAAGAGGTGTAATTTAGTTATAGACTATAGCGATGCCCTTTGTTAAAAGGCCAAAGAAATAGAAAGGTGTCCTTCAGATAATTTAACATTGAGGAAATCTTCCAAACGTAGTTCGAGAGTAGTAAAATATGCCAGAGACTGTTTGACTTTGTATGTATATATTTTGTAATGATGATGCTTTCTTTTGTCTAATGTATTTGATTAATCTAAACATGAACAAAACGATTTTCCAAAAAATTGGGTAATTGAAATGCGCTCCACCATTCAAACACTTCTGCAAAGAGAAGCTAACTTATAGTTAGAAAAAAGTTCAATTAGGTGGTACAAAAATGATCCAGAATCTCAGACGAATTATTACTAATCTCAAGTCAAAAAATGAGTCGCTTCAAACAGAAATCGAACAACTACAAAGTGATTATCGTACACACGTACTTGGATGTGAAACTTCACGTAAGGCTACCAAGGTATATCTGCAATCCCTAAGATGTCTGAACGTAAGGGAGTACCAGTCTGAGGCCAAAACGAATAAATTCAGCAGTGAATTATCATGGTAGTCCAAAGATTCACACACACTCACTCAAATGATCATCAAAAATATTATTTTCAATGAAAAAAATGTTCAAATAATATTCAAACAGTGTCACCACCTGTGCTATCAAATTTAAGTACTTCTTTCACTTAAAAAGAGGGGTGCAAATAACAAAAAAACTATAAGGATATCAACAGTCTCGTATGATGTCATCTTTTCGCAGGTTTTTCGGTCGATACAATGACCTTGACAGCACATACAACATGTCATTGAGTCAAATGCTGACTGTCGTTTTTCATACTGATTATTAGGTAATTATCTATACACTGAACTGTCTACGGATATTTCCGGGGGGTTTTCCCGATCATGACAAGGAGCACACGGCGAGTGTGACCGGTCGGCAGGAGATGCTCACTCGTCCATGACACCTGATCCCATTTCTAAATTTTGAGGTCCTTGTTTGCTCTGCTTCAAATTCGTATCGATTCATTGGACTTTCGAGATTGAATACCGTTCGTTATCTTCATATTTCGTCTATACGAAAGTACTCTTTCAGTAGTCCTACACTATCCATCAACCTCCTGGGCTGTAATCCTGGACTGCTGTTGGGGATCAGTGGCACTAGTATTAATGATTCCCGCTACATGTACTTCGTAGACATCATCATCATCGACATCGTCTTCATAAGCCTTGTCGTCACCATCGACTTCATCGTTATCACCATCATCAATACAGTGCACTCCTCAGCATGTTGCTAAAACATTAACCCTCCTTAATCAGTAAATTTTTTTACACTACGTATGGAAATACTATCCTTTTATTTTACTTGGCTTTAATTAATAACCACTTAGTAATGTATGAGTTCAATATTATTTGTAAACACTAAGCTATTTTCATTATCATCAAACAGTTTGTATGGCGGACAGTACTTTTGATCATTTACTACCACTCATACATGAAAAAGAAATACAGTGAAAAAAATACAATAACAAGATGTGTTTGTGAAACACTGATGCAACTTATAGCAAAGGTTAAACTTTCTCAAATGCAAATCAAATATGTTGGTACCCAAAGTAAGGTCTTGTCTCAAGGAATATGCCTGTGAAATATGAAAGCCCTAGCAGCAACCATTGAATAGATATAGAAAAGGTTAAAGTTTTTCAAAAGTAAGTCAAACATCAAGGTCAAGGTCAAATGGTCAAAATTAATGGTGCCTAAGGAAAGGCCTTCTCACAAGAAAAATACAGGTGAAATATGAAAGCTGAAGCACCAATCGTTCAAAAGTTATGACCAAGGTTGAATTTTTTCAAAAGAAGGTCAACCTCAAAGGCCAAGGTCAATGGATTACAACTGTTGGTATCCAAAGGAAGGTCTTGTCAGAAGGAAAAAAAACATGTTAAATTGAAAGCCCTAGCAACGACTTTTCAAAATTTGTGTTCAAGGTTAAAGTTTTCCAAAAGTAGGTCAAAGTCCAAGGTCAAGGTCAAAGGGTCGAAATTGTTCGCATCCAAAGGAAGGATTTGTCACAAGGATTATATGTGTGAAGTATGAAAGCCCTAGCACCAACGGTTCAAAAGTTATGGGCAAGGTTAAAGTTTTCCAAAAGTAGGTCAAACTTCAAGGTCAAAGGGTCAAAGTTGTTTCAATCCAAAGGAAAGTCTTGTCACAATGATTACATATGTGAAGTATAAAAGCCCTAGCACCAGCCGTTCAAAAGTTATGGCCAAGGTTAAAGTTTTTTAAAAGTAGGTCAAACTCCAAGGTCAAGGTCAAGGGATCAAAGTTGTTGGTATCCAAAGGAAGGTTATGTCACAAGGATTACACGTGTGAAGTATGAAATCCCTAGCTCCAATTGTTCAAACGTTATGGCCAAGGTTAAAATTGGGGAAAAAAATGCAAAACTGGGTCAAACTCCAAGGTCAAGGTCAAAATGTCAAATATGGTGGTAACCAAAGAAAGGTCTTGTCACAAGAAATACGTATGTGAAATATGAAAGCCATAGCTCCAACCAATCAAAAGTTATGGGCAATGTTAAAGTTTTTGCGGACAAACAGACAGACAGCTAGACAGACAGACAGACAGACGGACGGACGGACAGGGCAAAAACTATATACCCCCGAATCTTCGATACGGGGGCATAAAAACAGTAGCTATTGTTACCTATCGGCTGAGCTTTTTTTTGCAAAGAATTCTTGGTGCTAATAAAGAGGTACTGAAGGGTAATACTTGTACGAAATACAAGGGGTACCCAAAGGGTTAAACTATTGATTGTTACACCCTAAAAGAAAATTGTACAATTTTTTTCCAGAACAGTCACTCTTAGACACAATATTTGAAATTCTGAACGTATTTACAGTAATCTACATACATACATTGAATTATCTACTACTGTCGTTTACTGCCGACTTAGATAGTCTGCTCCCACGCTATCACTTCCTTTTATTGCTACGATTCTGAAACGGTATGACTGAATATGTTTCACTGTCATCGGTTAAGTCAATGTAAATTCGATTTTGAACTTTGTTCCTCTAGGAATGTCAATAAAAACTTCACTAAATTGTTCACATAGAAACTCCACATCTTGGTGCTCTGGCGTAAGGCGTTCTGCAAAATGAATATCCTTCACTGATTCTGTTTGAATTCCTGATGGCAGCAAAATTGAATCTTGTGCTTCATTGGTGACTTCATCACTGAAATCTATGAGAGAAGCTGCACATGCTGTTAAACCTTCAACTTTAGATTCATCTCTTTCGATATAATTTTTAACAGATTTGCTTGATACGTTTTCGTCTTGCCTCCTAGGTCAATCTTGTAATTTATAGGTCCAGTCTTCCGTATGACACTATTAGTTCCATTCCGCATTCCAGAAATGAGAAGTTTGTTAGACTTCGTTGGACGGACGACTAACACTTTATCTCCTTTCATTTGACGGTTGTTTGTTTTCTTATTGTAATATTTGCATTGACGTTTTCTAGCATTTTCTAGATTCTCATGGGCGATTTTGCATGTTTTTCAAGTCTTTCTCTCAGAACAAAGACATATTGATATGTAGTTTTGACTTCTTCATCGGGAATATCTTTAGTTATTAACTCATTAAGAATCATCATTATGTTCATACAAAAGATCAAATGGAGAAAACCCGAGACTTTCCTTTGGAACCTCACAATATGCGAACAGTAATGGATTTAGATATATTTATCCCAGTCCTTGGGCCTCTTTGCGAACATCATTTTAAGCATTTGTTTTAGTGTTGAATTAAACTTTTTAACGAGTCCGTTGCACATTGGATGGTATGGGGTAGTCGTAATTCAGTAAAAGGACAAAAGTCGTCCTTAGTCAGTAAAACATCCAATATGAAACAGATGTAGCATACTCTGTGGTTTCTTTTTTTTTCAAATTTACTGAGATAGAGTCGACAAATAAATTGAAGAAGTCAATCGCGTGGCGCAGTAGTTAGAGCAATTGTTCTAGAGCTGTTGAATAAGGAATCGAATCAACTTTGTGACGCGAAAACCGGTCCTTTGGATGAGAAAGTATCAATCAAGATTCCGCGTCGCGGAGACCGGTCCTTTGGATGAGAAAGTATCAATCAAGATTCCGCGTCGCGGAGACCGGTCCTTTGGATGAG